AAAATTCACTTAAAGGGTGTCAAGAGACCCCTCAGCTAGTTCTCGAGGACTCATAGGTGTAGGGAGAGCTTTGAGTGTTAGGGCAAAAAATCACTTGTTGACTGGATCCCAGCAGTTAGTCGTATGTGTGCAGTTTATCTGAACGGGTTCGTTAGAAGGAAGGACGGCGTTACCCGTCGTTGTCTTTTCGAAGTCTCTGCGTACGCCCCAATAAACTGCAGTTCGGATGAACTAAAGGATGATTTCTACCAGAAACTGTCTAATTTGTTGCAAAAAGAAAAACGCTCAGATATAGTTGTTTTAGCCAGCGACTTCAATACCCAAGTAGGGAAGTTGTGCCAGACTGAGAAGTACGTAGGTGGCACGTGGTAGGGGGAACAGGGTGAATTATATTGAGGTTAGGTACGTATGGAGTTCCCTGCCGACGAACCAACTACGGTGATCGTCTTCTACAGTTTTGCTCAGATTATCATCTGTTCCTAGTCAGCTCTAACTTTATGCACAAAGAGAGACGTTGTATAACCTGGTGACCTCCATCATCAAATCAACGTTGAACTCAGATAAAGCACATTGCGATAGGATATCGTTGGCGAGGGTCAGCAGAAGACTGCCGCTCCTTCTGGAGCACGTGCGTAGACTCCGATCACGCTCTGATTCGCACACGTTTATACTGACGTCTAAAATGACGTAAATAACTGTTGGCAGTGAAGCAGTTACGCCCCCAACTAGATCGAGACACTCGGTCCTTATTTAACGAGGAAACATCGAAAAGTGTATCGACAGCAATACTCCTCCTGACGTAGCCTGGCACGACATACAGCTGTAAATAACCTAAAACCAAAAGCTAGTAGGAACCATTGGATCTCTACCACCTCATCCGAACTGATTGACGCAAGAAGACTGATTCCGGTGAGCTCCGATTATGATGAGGAGCGAAAGCTACTCAAACGAAAACTAACAAGAAGTCTTCGTAACGACCGTGAACAGTGGTGGGCGACAAAAGCGAAAGAGATGGAAAAGGCATCGGCGACTGATAACACCAGACAGCTATTTAGACTTATCAGTGAAACAGGTGGTAAAAGGCAAATGATAAGTGAGACAATCTCTGAGAAAAGTGGCACAATAATTAGCTCCCAGGTTAGATGACTCGAACGATGGAAAGAACTTTGAGGAGCAGTTTAATTGGCCTAAAGCCGCGCTCAATTTACCAAACATCCAACACCTCCCTGAATGGGATATAGACACAGGTCCTCCGTCCCTAACTGAGGTTACTAAGGCTGTTTGACTAATATGGTATCTAAAGTTCTAGGCTTAATAATCATGCGTACACTAAGTGTTGATCGCGAGGAACAAACACGACACAACCGAGCAGGCTTCAGACCAGAAAGAGGGTGTAATGACCACACCTTCACCCTTCGACAGATTCTGGAACATAGGCATTCTTACCGGGTTCCAAAAATCGTCATATTTCTTGACCTAAAGGCGTCATTCGACTCCATTGATCGAGAGGTACTATGACGATGTTCAGCTGTGAAAGGAATGTCTCGAATATACATCACACTAATCGAGGCACTCTACTCGAACTCATGCAGCCAGCCAGGTGAGAGCTTACGGAGAGTTGTCATCTGAAGTGGTGACAACTAGTGGTGTCCGTCAGGGACGCTCACTGTCCCCATATATATTTAATTTCGTCATAGATGTACTAATGGACTCAGGGATTGACTTGTTACCGCCAGGGAACAATCCCGTTGACTTAGAATATGCGGATGATATAGTCCTCCCTGCTAGTTAGAGACGCTGACAAAATGCAGAGTTTTCTGAACACCTTGAGCTGCAATCTGCGAATGTTTGGCATGCAATTCGCTCGTGCTGTCAAATGTAAGATGAGAAGACTACAGGACTGGACTACATTGACTCCTAGCTTAAAAATAGGAAGTGAAGTGTTGACCGCTTTACTTATTTGGAAAGTTGCATCAGCCAGTGCCAACGGGTAGGTCGCTGATATAAATCTCAGCACGGATAGAGAAAGCTAGTTTCGCATATGCCAGTCTACGCCACCTCTCGCATAGACGTGATATCCGGCTGGCTATCGACCAAAGGGCGTGTGTACTGCTCAGCAGTCCGCTCCGTCCTCCTTTATGGCTGTGAGAGAGACCTGGCCATTGAGAGTGGAAGACATGGAAAAGCCGGCTAGCTGTCTTTGATCATAGGTGCCTGCGTTCTATCTCCAGTGAGCAATAGTGAGGTCACGCATCGGTTGAGTGCTCGATAAGGAGGACGATGCTGTGAAGCTACATCGATTGAGGTGGTTAGGACATGTGTTACGCATGCCTAGCCATCACCTACCTCGATGGGCAATGTCAGCTGACATAGGGTCAGGCTAGAAAAGAGCTAGTGGTGGTCAAACGAAAACATGGCACCAGTCAATGAAATCCACAACGGTTAGTTTAAGGCATGTCAAGAGGTGTAGACTTCCTGACTGGTTGGGGACCTCGGGATAGTAAACATCAATGGCTGGAGAGAAGTGATGTGACTCAAAATCGTTCTCAACGGCTGGCGCAGATGCATCCACTCCTTGTGACTTATAATTTCTAATGAAACTATATTGTTCTTCGCTATCAGTATTCTTTTTGTCTCATATCTCTGTTTACTGTCTCTATTTTGAGTTTCTTTTCACTTTACTCCCTGCCTTTGTGTGCTGAGTGAAGTGTGGAGACTCGAACTGCTGCACTTCGGTGCAAAGTTCTAAGTTGAAAACAGACAGACAAAATTGCCACAGCGGCTTTTGGTCGACGAAGTCAAATGTAGCCTGTAGGTCAAGCGTTGGACGTCGGTAGATAAGCCTACGCTTCACAACCTGTGGAATAGTCAAGACATGATCAACATACCCTTCTTCTCAAACCTTGCAGGTCCTCCCGGACTTGTTTCTTCCGACTACCGCTTAGTCTGTGTAAGATTTTTGAGCCTAAGATTTTGGGTACTATGTTAATCTCAAGCCTAACCTCCCTATGGTCGATTATTAAAGGAGAACTTGTCTCCCTTCTTATAAATAGGGATAACAACGATTTACACCAGTCCAGCAGGATTATTTCGGATTCCCACAAATTACCTAAAATATTAGTTAGTTCGTCGCAACCTCCTTGAACACTTATTGAGCATTACCACCAGGTCCTCATACTTTGTTTCGCTCTAGATTAGAGAAAGCTTTTGTAACTTCAGTTGGAGGACCGACATCTACATCCCACACAGGTAGGTGGGTGTTGGATACTATTTGAATCGAGCTTGGCTGCAAGTTAGTTAGTTTGCTCCTCAAAGTGTTACCGCCAACATCCCAGTTGCCTTTTTTAAGAGGTAATTCGAGTACAGTCCTTATGTCAAGTTCTTTCGCTTAAAATTGGATTTTGTCAGCGTGTTCACTTGGTATGCACAAATAGCTGTCGTGTCATCTACCACTGATGCCCTTCTTATCTGTGTAGATTTTGTCGCCTACTAATGTTCAGTCGTTGCACGAACTTTTCGCCAACTTGTAATTGAGCAGCTTTCAATCGTCGTCGTGTTCAGAACTCAAAAGAATTAGTCTTCTTGCTTTTGTTAGTGTGAGTGAAGAGGCAGAAATCCACTGGCATTTAATAACCTTCGGTTTCAGGCTTTCACCAGTCTTAACTACTGTTTCTACAGCCGACTGGTTTCCTCAGGGCGAGTCATAATGTCAATCTCATATACGCCGTTAGTTATTTCTTTTCAAAGTAAAAACTTTGTGTCCTCGCTAAGTTTGGGGTGTGACCGCTTTATAGATGTCACTTCCGTTGTAGGAATACAAGTGCGCGGACAATAGCGTGATCGAAGTCTACACACATGTTTCACGAGCGACAGTCTCCTGCACTTCACAACCGACCAGAGTATTAAATTCGTCAGGAGTAACTGATTACCATACAGCTAACTGTTGCAGTTACACTATTTGCTGGAAAACATTGAGTCGCTTGGTAACTCTGTTGTCCACTGAACGTACTAAGTTTACTCTGTGGATATAGGGGAAGAGAACTTATTTTTAATAACCAGTACCCGGTTAAAGTATATAGTACCAGTTTACGAACACGGAAGGAAGCTGGAGCAAATTTTGTATACCACTCAATTTACGATAGGCAAACAGAGAGCATAAAATATAAAATCAGTATCACATGTGATATAAATTAGTAAGATGTATACGAGAAAAAACGGAGGTAGCATCTAAGTTCTATAAGAGAGAAAGAGCAGAGAAGCGTGCGGTACTACGAAAGGAATATAAATGTGGATTATTCTTTAGACTACAGTCGTTCTCGGATGTCATAAGAATTTACACGATTTCTATCTGTCGTCAGCGATTTGCATAACACATAGTTAGTAAGCATAGACGCGGAACGCTTGCTTCAGGCGATGACAGGTAATACACTGGTTAACTAACTACTTAATTTTAGCCTTTATTTCGTCCACATAGTGCCAGCACTAGGTGCGACAGGTATCAAGATACTCTGAAGTTTTTAATTAGCTCTGACTTAATTAACTGTGACTCATGATCATAATTAAGAGTAGGGGAAACTGGTGTTCGATACAGTTAACATTGGACAGCTTCACAGGCAAATATCACACAGCTTTCGGCTAAATTTTCCTTATATTTGGCCACTATGTTCGAATTTATTATGCAAACAGTGGTAAAGTAGACGTGACAAAAATTGATGAAGTCATCATTCTTTTTCTCAGTACGTTGACTGTATAAAAGTATGAGCAGCACTTTACAGTATATTATTAGGCTTCACACATACGAAAGGGACAATTTTAATTTACATTTATTATGAACTTGTGATGGTTTGATTACACACGTCAAACCTTGGTGACTTCCACTGGTTAATTCCTATGCTTCACAATAAATGATCACATAGCGCTCACTGACATATTTAGCAGATAGTACGTATACGAGCTAACAACATATTGAGTGAAGACTATGGTGACTGTTTTCTGCCATAATGAGGCTAAGAAATCCTGATTGCAAATTATGTTTTGTATACAAGCGTATGAAGAAGTATGCTACATTGTTGTTTAAAAGTTCAATATCTTGGATGCATATATAGATTCTCCGATATTCAACACCACAGGTGCTAATGTGGCTTTTCTAAGAACTATATTCAATTAACACATTCAATGGCCTTTGTTGTCCAGGTAGAAGCGAAGACCACAGTATCCACAGGCGTGGTTTCCTGGTTGGTCCTGAAATATGAAGAGAGACAAGTGTATTCATCATTTACAACATACAGTTATGACATAAAAAGATGTGATGTGAGAGATTAACTGACTAAGGCTTTTGACAGGAGTTGGTTATGTAAGTTATCCTGTAAGCGAAAATAATCGTTTGAATAGAAAATGAAAAGATTCTCAAGAAATATCGATACGACATACATTAAGTGGTAAAAAAATTTTCGCGAAAAATATAAAGAAACGACAGGCTGTATTACAAGCAGAATTTGATAGGATGTAAGCATGTTTATTAACTGTAGAAACATAAACACTGATCGCATATGAGGTAATTCTCAAATTCTGTTAATACGTTAATTCTGTTATTACGTTCACTAACTGAAGGGTTTCCTCAACAAACCTTTTCATCTACTTATTCACGTTATTACTTAGATGCTTAGACAGCACAATAAACAAGTGAATGGAAAATGAAAAAAACAAAACAAATTAGTATGGCAATGCAAAGTGAACCAGAAAACTTTCCCATATGCATAAGTTAGACATCAATCGTTGAACTGTTGCAGCTTTTTCACGTCATAGCAGTACGCTGTCAATGTATCTATTTACTACCTAGAAAGTCGTTTCAGAGTCGATGACATGAAGAGTGCCAAGGCTGCGTCTGCCAATGACACTACCAGGTAGTCTTGTACTTTCCAGTGACAATCTTTTCAATACACGTTCAGTCTTTTAGCAAGGACCCTCTTTGTTAATCCCAACTATACATACTACTAAAAGCAGAGAGAAATAGAAAACACAACTAAAGCTAACTATGAGTGGTTCTCATACCTAGATTCGTTTCTCAGAGCACGTTATTTGTTTTATATGTTGCTGATTATTTCGCAGCAAGATAGGTTAGTACGTGCATGAGGTTACTTTGTGAACTGATTTCATTGCCTAGTCAAATGAAGGCATTCTATGTTTGTATGAATTTGCACAAAAGCTGGTTCATGTAGTCCCAGGTGATATCCAGTCACCTCCAGGTCTTGTGAGACTCAGGTGGGAAAAATTATTTTGTTCAACATCTTATTTCTATTTTTTATTTTTATTTTTGATTACAGCTTGATTCCACACCGTATTTTCAGTACAAGTATGGAATTTTCAGCATGGATATCGGTAGCCCAAATTTTGCAGGCCGACCATAGATATCGGGTGTGCGTCGGCGGGGGATCGAACCCCGGACCATGTGCATGGTCGGCGAGAGTCCTAACCACTGTGCCACCGACGCACAGTGCGCACTAATGCGAATTTTACATCAAGATGAAGTAGGTTTTCTCTGCTTAGTACTCCTACTCATGTGATAAACGTACCACTTTCAAATGTTTATTTTACAAAAAAGTTTCTAGTTACTACCATAAACGATAGTGTCTAGTAGTAAGAAAATGAGAACTAGCACATTTTATCCTATTCTCTCCACTATACTACTCAAAAAGAGTTTAATTCACGTACATCTAAAATATGCGAATAAAGTGTATATGTTACTGCATAGTGAAAGAAGAATGATTTCAGTCTCTATCAAATATTTTCGACAGTTCTAACTTGTTACCTTCACAAAACAGAATTAATCGATTGGAGATTTTACAAATGTCTTATGCAAGACAACATTTCCGGACTTTCGTGAAAAGCGTAAAGCTGGCTGCAGTTACGCATGCATGAAAATAATACCTATAGTCCGAAGAAATATGACAAACAATTATTAGAACAATTAGGTTGAGGTTTCAAAACAGTTAGAATATCCCGTGGTTTTAAAACTGTTTTAGGGAACACTGGTCTCTCAGCCATCAAGTTAAAATTAATCAAGACATGAGTAATTTTAGTCAGCCATAGGGAATACAAGCGACGTGTACTTACCAAATTGATGTATACTTTTGGATGACCAAGTGCACCACCACCACCATCACAGCTTACAATGTGTTCTTTACATGCAATTGGAGGGACTTCTGCTATCAGTTTTTCTGCGAACTGCTTATTTACCTAGAAGACAATTTTAAGAAAGGAATTGTTATAATAGAGAAAGCATGTTAAATAAGTGTTGCATTCAAAGTTTTGACTGTTATTACATAAGCGATTAGGGTGAAGACTAGGATATCATGGATACCTTATTGATGAAGCAATTAAAAATTTACTGGAAATTTTGGTGTTTCTACCTAGTTTGTTTTTGGTTTCTTTTAGGAAAATGTTATGTTTTTTTCATAAGTGTGTTCAAAATCCCCTTATGGATTTCATTACAGATGTGAATTTTGTAATTTTACCTCGAGTACTTTATTTTTTCCTTACTGTTTTAAAGTCTTGTCGATACAGGTTCTACCTTAACACAGTGGTCTTGCTTGCAAATTGCATTGACCCAGTTAATTAGATCTCAGTTATTTACAACAGGTTTTGTATGTACCAGGCTGCGAACCACAATTATTTTGAGAGCTGAGTATACTAACCAGTTCCTTAAGCTGATCGTAGGTGGTCTGATTAGAATTCAGGACCCAGTGGCTAGAAGTCAGCTGGTTAGGCCGACGTTGTTTGAAGTGAATATTCTAACAGGCTCTACAATACAAACATATCGGGTGAATAACAGTAAGTTTCGGAAGTTTTTACGACGGTATAAATTGATTACTAAGAATTAAGTCGTACTATGATAAGACTAGGATGCAATAGAAGTAAGGTATTTCGCTTAGTAGACTGATGAACCAACTAAACTTCCTTTTTCGTCTGGGGTCAGAAAAAACCTACCTTGCAGTTTGTACATCATAACTTCACGTAGGATTTTCTAAAGATGGATTTCTCTGATAGAATGCATACCAAAGTTAAGCGGGTGAAGGCCTTCACATGTCAACCTTCCTGGTTAACAAACTAGGTCTTTATCCATACGGCTGGATTAGCATTTATCTATGTGACAAAGACAATCAATCTGACGAAACCAGAAACCGATATTCAATCTGCTTCAAAAACAATGAGAACAGATAAGTAATTTTGACGCAATGGTTAGCGCATTGGGAAATAAGTGTTTCCAACTTTATTTCACCTGATCACTGAAAGGGAGAGATTCTTTCCGGCACTGAGAAAGTACGCTGAAATGGCTAAAAGTATCAGTTACTACCTTAAGTGATAATTGGTGGGCAGAACGAAAGAATGGAAAATATTAGAGGTACATAATACCCCCCATAAACTTTTTAGGACAGGACCTGGGACACCCATAAAAATCAAGACGACCTCTGAGAAGCGTGAGACTTATGGCCACACTGCTGAGCACAACACTCAAGAGAATTTCTAGTGGTCAAGATATGCGGAAGTTCCAACAAACACAGACTGTTGCTCATAGTGCAGATGTTGGTGACCTCATTGCAAAAAGTGGTCTGAATAAAATAAATGAAAATAGGGAGTATAGTACTGAGAAGCCCAGATGCGGCTAAGGATATGTGAATTTGTAAAACCAGGTGGATTACAGCACACACCAGGGTTCATCGGTGAAGCACCACACCTTCAAAGAGTTTCTGTTATATTGGCATACATACTGTGATACAACGCATGGCATATTTGTTGACATGATGCTAGCATTTAGTTCTAAATCAGAGCCGTGAAAGAGCTTATAGGAAAGTGCCGTCTGAAGTAAAAGCCGTCCACAGTATTCTCAAGCGATCCTTTTATAAATAAATACTCAGTTTATTAAATGCATATGGATGCATTATCTGCAAAAGTCGAGGGTGTTATCACCAGTGAAATCATAACCTTGGAAATCTACGTAGACGTAACTTACATCACTAATAATCGCATATTTACTCGAAAAATCTTTGTGGATAACTTCAGGAAAGATAAATATAAGAATTTTATGGAGGTTCTGGGAACAAGTATCACGATTTCGGTAATTACCGAAATTATAATTTCCCGAATACCCGAAATTACTTTATAAGTACTAAGATCACTTGTCCCCTGATAATACTAGTTCCACAGAAATGCGACATGTCACAAAAATACCATGAAGTAATAAAATTCACTGCGTTACATGGAACTTACTAATTTATTGCTTGCATTGAAACGCATGACAGAAGGATCATTTTTCGAAAACGTCTAACCAAGGGGAAGCATTAGTAAAAAAAACTATCTAACCTGACCGGTGTGCGTAACCTCTTGTGCACTATTAAAGCTACTGTAAGCTCGTCGAAGATAAATGGACAGACAACGCAACGGACCGCTATTCGTTAGGGCCATTCCTCCGAGCGGCCTTGAATATCGAGGTCAACTAGCTGGCGGGCATCGACCGTGAAATAGTTTGATTCAACATCCAATTTACCTGTGAAGATATACCAGCGTGAAGAATCAATTAGGAACGAAATTGTACCGAAATCATTTTAGGGAACTTTAGTAATAATGAATTTTCTATGAATTTCATGATTTCAGTAATTTTCAAATTCTTATTCACTCATTTAGCAAAAAGCTTATTGAGCGAAGAAATATATTCCTTTTCAATTAGTTCCTCATCATCGCTCACTCTGCACTAATATATGTATATTTATACATCTGAATGCTTTACCAATCAAGTGGTTATTTTACTTAATCAGTTTTAGTTATTCAGAGGTCGAATTAAGAGGTTCGCGATCTTATAAGTAGAAACGGATATCCGACTAAATTCAGGAACAAACACATGAACTCAGATAGTAAAGAGCCATAATTCCCGACTGTCTTAAAAAGTCAGTCTTTCTAAGGTAACAGTTCATGGTTGATGTCAATAGTGAGATCTTATCACAACGTCTGAGAAGGGCCTACAAAAGCACTTCCGACGCAGCTAAGCTATGCTGTGTTTTCACTGGCCGATCGATTCTCAATTGAAGAAATAAAGACAGTCTATTCTCTTGCGCCTCTTTCATGTGTATTTTCCAGTTTAACTGCTCGTACGGAGCTAGTTACATAAGGCATGCGGCCAGGCAAGTTCATCGTCGAGTTCCTGAAGGCCTCAGGTCTTGGTTTGGCAAAGGTCCGAATAAAGTTATACGCAGCCCAATACTAGCTCATCTCGTCGATACTGGATATCAAATAGATTCTAACAAAGCTTTTAAAGGTTCTTATCGTATATCAACCAACCTCTCGCATGGTCTACGAGTATGGCAATTAGAATTCATCTGAACAAGCCAAATCTGTGTGTTCAAAAGAAATTTGTACAGCCCTTTTCTTTGCTATAGCCAACTACGTAATATGTAAAAAGTTTTTATAACGATTTTTCACTTCTTCTTGTAACTATCCTTTGGCTTTCTTAATTTTTACAATTTCAGCTAATTCTAATAACTTGTTTGTATTTTATTTAACTGTTCTGAGTTATCTTATTCTTCTTAGATATCATGCTAATTTTACTACAGGTTGTATGAAAAAATATGGAGCATTCGTGAATACTGGGTACAATTAAACCAGTCACCTGCTCACGTAGTGGTGAGGCCGTAGTAGACCCAGGTAAGTATTCGGTGACTGTATTAAGTTTTTTCTTCAGGAGCATGCGAAAGACCATTTCTTGTTGTTGTGTGGAATAGATCAGTGTCGTCTAAGGATAAAGGGAGTTTTTGTGCTCGTGAAGTTCCAACAAAGACGATTTGACATTTTTAAACTGGGCATTATTCGTTTGCACAGGACTGTCTGTAAATAAGGTAAGAGATCCGACCACTTAACAGCCTCCCATGACTTCACCCGTTAGCATAATGACTGGACTATCCAAGTTGATCAAGAGATAATTCGTGAAAGTTCAGAATATCATCTCTACAAACAGCTCCCAAAGAATGAGAATTCTCCATTTGTTTTCCTACAGAATTCCTGGTCTTTCAGTTATGCTTCATATAATAACATCTGTTGACTGTCAGCTTAGAGACACTCCTGATTTGAACAACAGTGGCGACCACTACAGCCACAGCAACCGTTATCAGGCAAAATACATGGCATATCAAACATACGCATATATATATAACCTCAGGAAGTTAAGATACCGATAAGTCAACAAGTCTTATTAGTCATGTGACCTCAGAAAATTAAGCCATGAATAAACGAATCTTAACTGCCCAATCAGGTTGTCATGTCGTGACATGCATAAATCATGATTTGAAAACTAAATGTGAGCTTATCCATCATAACACAAGCAGTCACAGATTGGACCACAGCCCAACGGTAGTTTATCAAATAATGTGATCCTTTTTAATACACATGTGTTTGATCAGAAACAGCTTTCTAATTTGTAATGCAAATTGGAGACTGATATCCCGCTGGTAAATCCGTGTCGATAGTGCAATTTACTCAGGGACTTAGTGGTAAACTTCGCCTAATTAGTGCAACACAGATCTATGATGATGTTCAGAATATTGCATTAATTTCCCGAAACCCAGATTTATAAATACTTCAACTACACGAATAATATCTGATAGGCAATGGGCAGACAGGCGAAGCTAAACAGTTGCCAAAATTATTACCCTCCACCTCCACAGTCACCCATAGTGTCCTGGAGCCAAAACCGGAACTACATGTGAGAAACACTTGTAGGATATAAAGCAGTGGAGATGGCTGTTATTTCAATTGGCCCTGGGTGCCTTGGGGGCTGTTTCTATTTGTGGGCTACCTAATGACACCCACCTCATCTCGATCAGCTCACTATGGCTACTAGCTGTCAAACCTAGCTTCCAGGAGCAGGTGAATAAAGGGCTCCAACAGTGGTGTGAGACCAGGGATTAGGTTAGTAGATACATTTAGTACTACCAAATCCAACGTCGAACTCTAAGGAAGCAACAAACTGGGTTGCAGTGCGTTTTCATGCCTCATTTAGGCTATGGCGGTGCAACACTGAGGGGGACAGCCAACATCATTTAAGTGACTTAACTGAACCTATGGAAAACGTTGATAGTAAGTCAGTCCCACTGGAGCAAGCAGCCTAGGCCGTGTCGACCTTTCCACACAAGGTATGGTGGTGAGACTCACTATTATTTATTTATTTTTTTATTTTGATTACAGCTTGATGCCACACCGTATTTTCAGTACAAGTATGACATTTTCAGCGTGGATATCGGTAGCCCAAATTTTGCAGGCCGACCATAGATATCGGGTGTGCGTCGGTAGGGGTTCGAACCTCGGACCATACACATGGTCGGTGAGAGTCCTAATCACTGTGCCACCGACTGGCTATATAGCAGTGTGAGTGCGTTGAGAGGAGGGATTGCTAGACACGCAACCTGCAATCACAACTGGACCTCAAAACAGTAATGCTGGTAGAAACCTAAGTTACTAATATTATTGCCCACAAAGAAGTCAGTATAAGCGATATGGCCCTATTCAGGAAAAACTGGGATAACAAGGAAGTTCGCGGAGTTGCTACATATGTCGACAATCAACTTAGACGCGCACGAACAACGAACCCACCATTTATATTTCATGTAAACTTACCTGTTTATATGAAATATAAGTCACTATTATCACTGAAGAATGAGATTCTGTATGGTGAATTTTCACCATAGATTCCACCAAGCATTTATTGGGTAGCATCTGTTGATCATCCTCCTGTGGAGCAAACGCAACCAGCTACTATTCAATCCCAGCACACAGATATACATGTCTTGGGCTATGACCTAATCATCATAGATGAGGATTTCAGTGCCCCATACTTTAGCCTTGGATCGAGGTGGGCTGAAGGAAAATTAGGTTGAAGTTTGCTACATATTGCCATTTACGTTGGAGACGACACTAAATGGAGCCCAAGTGGAGAGTCATGGAAACTGGATTATTTTGAAACTATTGAACAGTTACTAGTCGAAAGCGTTCAAATCATGGTACCTCTACGTAACAGTGACTATGAGGTCTTGGCATTCGGTTTGGTCCTTTGCGAACGCTTGCAGTGGGCTGCTAAGTGACCCTGCCTGTACCTTAACGAAGCCGGCTACACCGAAGTGTGAAGACTTGTTTGACGCAGAATGACCCAAAAACTTGACTGAGTTATCAGTAGGAGAACGCTGGGAGACGGTAAAGTAGGCCATTCACATGGCAATCACAGAAACTGTTCTTCTGGTCACAGTAAAACGTTAGAAGAGATTCTATGGCTGAGAGGAAGCGCGCAGAATATTCTGCGAGCAAAGCGGAAAGTGCATGGCAAATCCCCAGTATTCACAATGCACGTGAGGTATAACTGGGACTCGGGAACGGCCGCGACACAAGAGTTATTTCAGATAGAAACTGTCAAGAAACGCCTAGCGAAACATTAAAGGCCTGTACTGGTTCACGTTGGAAGAAAACCTGCCGACCGGCGGACATGCGCCTCAACAGGTTTAACAAGAGTTAACGTCTTACTAATTTGTAAATGACTGAAAAATTTAGCTGGGCCTTTGACGGATAACTAAAGAGCATTGTTGGCATTACTATTGTAAGCCAAAGGGATCGTACTACTAATTCAGCAGGTGGAGACCAAATGAGTGCGCTACAAACTAACCCTTCAGTCGTTCTGGCAAAGTCACAAAATATCATTTTTGGAAGGCAACCAGGTTGTGACAAAATTCTGCCATTTGTTCTGAAACAGTGCGCTAAATCTCTACTCAGGTCATTGCGTGACCTATGCAAACACCCCATGGATTTAAGGAAGATGCGAGAAAGAAAGCACTATACTCTCTCCTATCCTCAAGGATGGGGATCGGAAGAACGACAGAACTCAATGAGTTATATACTACTAGCGGTATTCCCAGTGATGTCGAGGGCAGTGTAATATCTGATTGATGATCATTCCAGACAGTACCTTGAAGGGACTAACATACTCCATGAAACACAGCATGGTTTCAGAAGAGGTGGACCAAATGATTTAGATGATCGGAAATCGTGCTGAGATATGAATATTCCACCCCATGTTATTTTCCTCGGCTTCGTGAAGGCATTTGACACCGTTCAGCCGAACCTTATCCTTCAAAACTGGGTCAGTAAGGTACTGGTAGTCCACTTCTCTTATGGTTGGAGGAGGAACCAGGCGAAAGTGAATTCTACATCAAGGTCATTCGAGTCCGATCATATTGGCATAGCTCGTCTTCGTGAGCGTTCTATTTTGAGACCCTCAGTGTTTTTAATTTTTACTAATGACCACCCACGCCACCTAAACTGCCCAGCTCTTCTTTACCCTGTTAATTTAAAGACTTGGGGAACAATAAAATGTTTGGAAGACTAGCGAGGATTGGGGTGCTGGTCAATGGCACGAATTTCGGGTCTCGCTCTAATGGAAAAGCTATATACAAGTAAAAATTGCACGGGAGATGTGGTGACGCTATACGCGACTTAACAATTTACTCATAAACAGTTACGTGCACCCACTTCTTGGCTTTTTTAAGGTGGTGTAAAGTATCCACACGATAGCAACTTGATGTTCACAATATCATTGCTCCTCAGTTACTTGAAGGGGAAGCATATCTTTTCGAAAGAGTTCGAAGGCGAGTGACTAAAGAGTTCATGAGTCTTCACATGATGAAAGTAGGAAAAAATAGATCTTTTCACTCATAGCTGATGCCGTCTTAACGGTGACCTAATTACTGCCTACATGATTACAAATCACCAGAACCACCCAAATAAAGGTATTCTGCCACTAAGTTACTAACAGCAGAGACCAGAGTGCAACCTTATTTGTTTTCTCTCCGGGTTTGTTGTTCCTGGAATTCTTTATCGGCAAATGTAGCCGTCGAAAGCTTTAAATAGAGGCTTGATAATCATACACCGACACAGGGACTGAGTCCAAATGGTCTGTTCTCTTAAAACTCACACAACACACTATTGTTGGATATAAATCTAAACTCATCCTTAACCACTGCCCACTCTGACTCCTCAACCTGTTCATTCACTTATTTTATTTTTTTATATCACTCAATTTCATTGTCTGTGTATTTGTACGTTATTCTTTCTAAGTGTAAACTGACTGTATCTCTTCTGGATCAAACTGAATGACTAACAAGTGAAACGATCAACTTCATTCATATCAACGCAACTGTCCTGACACACATCATACAAATTATATCTACACCACTCCTCTTGGAGACAAACAAAACTAAGCAGAAGTTTACCGAAGATCAGGGACTTTCACCTAACAAACAAGGGGCAATAACAAAGAAAACAGTTTGGTTTACACTAGCTCCTAAAAAAGATATTGGTTATTCTCGTTTCTTGTGCGACCATAGCCGCCTTGAACACTGAGAGGATATTCCATTCATACGTTGAATTTCTGCCTTCTTTGAGTATGTTCCCTATGGAACTCACTGCTATCTGGTAAATCCGCTGTTACGTCTTTGATAGTCTCAATGCTGAAAATTCCAATCTGACTCGGCGCTCAAATTATTTCAGGAAGTTCGTAACACCTACGGCCTGGAAACCTATAACTGCATTATTATTGTTTGGAATAAGGTGATTATTATTTGAAGGCACGCTAATAAGTTACGCGAACACTCACGTTGTGTATTTTCTCAGCAACGTCATTTTCAACAATGAAGCATATTGGTGGTACAGTTTATCCCTAGTTATTTATTCTCTAGTTTTATCTATCATTTTTTATTTCTTTATTCCCTCATATTTTCCAGGCATATGTTACGCTAACATTTTGCTTAATAAATGTTTGCCAGATAATTATTTGACATTAAATCAGAAAGTCATGTAGGAAACGACATCGAGAATCAAATCACAAAACTCGATTAAAACAAACTGACACCCATTTACCTTCAAGAAAGCTGAATGAGTCGATCAGAAAGGTTTACTATATTGGAATCCATGAAAGAACTACAAACGTTTTTCAGTATTAAGCAGTCCCACTTAGAAAAATCAGTGGGACTGAAATGCTCGTTCATCTAGTTAAGGATAGCTAGAGAATAAAAACAAGTAGCATGACAAGGTGTCAAACGGTGAAAGTAGAAAAACCCCGTGTTTGTTTTACTGTATTCCGCATAGCCAGTTCACCAAAAAAAGGTGTTTATTTTTACGGGATGGAGTTGCTAGCCTCATGCTCAACCTTCCCTATTTACCAGTGTTATAACTGGTTTAGCGAGGTAAAGGAGTCCGGGGATCGAACTGTGGGCCAGATGCGTGGTTGGTGAGCATTCCACCACTGTCACCGATGCACATATATGTATATAAGTGTCCTATTGACTAACAGCATTTCCATAGAGAAAAGACACATTTCTTTCATCACCAATAAAGAAAATGACACAAAATACATCATCAAGACGTCTGTTATATAAACGTGTATGCCAACAGATCCTGACAATTTTAGTTCAATAAAACCAAATCCAGAAGTTCGTAAATTTCATTTGATACTGTCATCTGTCCTTTGCACAACAGCTGTCTTTCATGGGTAGGACTTCAGTTTGGATTGATAAGTTCTAGGTTCGAGTCTCGTTGACACTAATACTATTCACTTAAATTCTGGTAAATTTTAGCTAACCACTCCCACGAACAGAACAAAATGTTATGTGCGTATATTTTAAGCGTAATGATCATCTGGCAAATAATGATATGCCCTTTTTTCTTTCTTTTCATACTTCAAATTTACCATCACATGGAATTTGTAGATACGTAGACAAGAAGTGAAGAAGAAGCTCTCATTTTGGCTTATTTTTGTATCAGATATTTTGAAAAAAGATCATACAGCCATTTCTATTCAATTAAGGCATATTGTATGCATTTATATATATATATATATATATATATATATATATATATATAGAAAAGCATATTGTTCAAAATTCCTAAATATTATGTATCAAAGATGATAAAATTGTACATGTTTACATTATCTTTTTTGTGTCAGTAAGTGTTATGTGGACTTTTCTTGTTAATGTTTGAATATTTTAGGCAAAGAAATTTCAAATTTTTATATACTTACACAAGCGAAATCAGCGGGGAAAAAGAAAGAAAGAAAGAAAAAAAGGAATAAAGTTCTGTGTACATTATGAAGTTTTTGCTCAAATTTATGGCATTAAACACTAGATTTACTTTTTTTTCTAAAAAAAAAAGAAAATTAAACTCCCCTTGTATAAATGCTTTTTCAGGTAATAATAATTTAAAGAGAAACAAAAAAGGAGCGAACCAATAGAAAAAAAGGTTAAGGAGTCTGAACAGCAGTTGGATCTCTGTCAAAAAATCGCTTAAAAGTGAAATTAGGAAAAGGTAGTTGAGTATTGCCGGAGGATGAACTATCTAAACCTTGACTGTTTTCACTACTATTCAATGTACGCTCATCGTCAACTGGATCAAAGTTAGATGTGTCTAATTCATCACGAATCTAAAATAAGTACAAGAAAAAGTAATTCTGTTGTAATATGTTGAAAAAAATATGATTAAATACAAATAAGAAAGTGTTGTTTTTAAAAAGGCTGGTAGATATATCAGCTGGTGTACTCAGTAAGAAGAGACTTAAAGCCAGAAGTGAGTAATTTTGGGTTAACATCTCAATTCGAGTCATCCTAAGGTGAGCGTACGATGCTAAACAGAATAAGGTTACACTAAATACTCTAACACTACTAATACTACAGTTAGCCACAACTGAATTAGGCAAGGCAAGTAGATATTTTTATTTCCAACTGACTGGAAAAGTATTTTACCAACTTGAGCCAGTTATAAAAACTGAAAACAAGGGCCAGGCAACAGGTCGTTTATTAAGGAAAATTAACACATATTTATAGATTTTAATGTACATTATTGTAGTTTATCGTAAGTAGAAAATACAGTTTTTGGTTGGTTGTTTCTCACTGTAAGTTAACCTTGCATTTCTTTGTGGCTGTGTCAGATCATCCATATGCTAACTGTATCCGCCTACGCAAAGCCTTTGTTCTCATTTTCTCACCACCAATATTGGGGACATAAACATTGACCTCAATTACTGTCTACCAACTTTGGCTAGCAGCCAGCTCTCACCACACACTTATATTCCTAATAGCATCCTTTCAGTTGAAGTTGTATTCGGCCCAAACGTTATTTAATTTATAGACCAAGTGAATAAACTAGTAGCTTGCTGATAAGCTCTGACAGGAAACTTAACGTAATAATGGAAAAGATAAGTAGCTCAGGCGGATGATTTTGATGTGGTTGTGTCCCATAAGCTGGGTAGTTTAGTTGCGACGCTGAACATCTTCAGCGTGAACTTCAACATAAAGTGAACCTGTTTGAATACTCTATGAATGATACGACTGTCTTGCATGACAACGTTGGTTGTAAGTGATTATTAATTTACATTAGTATAGATCATTTTGTTTGAAAACGTAAAGTTTTGCCTTGAAAAGGTTTTCCAGAGAGACAATAAAAGTTTCGCAACTAAACAACCCAGCTGAGAGAACAAAACTACATAAACGTTTATGGTCAAAAGAAGTTATAAATGCAAGGGCATCGCAGTGAAATGGTTGGCAGAAATAAATACTAAAAGCAAGCTGTTCTTGAAAATTTTAATAAAATTCACTCCAAGTATGATAAAGTAGACGGAAGCAATAACACCAAAACAAATCCACAGGCTCTTTTAACTTATGTGTACAAAATATCGAGTTGTAGTCTCTTTCCCCTGAAATACTTGAGATACACCTTTAGAGAGTTTAGATGAAAAGCATGAGACTGTCAGCTGGTGGAAGTGATGGTCCTGTATATCTCCGTCAAGAGAGACTGCTTCCATAACAGCGATAAGATTGATTAAATTTATCTCCAAATCTGCTCATACGCATAAGAACACGAAAAAACACGTAGACATCAGTTATACAACTTATTTTGTTATCATTCATTTTCCATATAATAAAAGTGAGTATCTAGAAGCATCGAATCGCAATGCGAATCAGTCTTTTATCTTTGGAACATTTCTATCTATATATATTTAGTCATTCTTATTTCTGATTATGAAAGAGACTATCTATAACCTGACTTACTGTTGGGACATAAGGTGGAGTTTGGTGAACTAGTTTATCCCAAGCAGTTGACTCGAAGAAAGGATGAGATTTGATTTTGACTGGATCAGATAGACGATCAGCTGGATCTCGAAGAAGCTGACGTATAAGATTACTGGCATCAGGCTTTAAACGAGGTTCACCGGGTAATTTGAGATATTTATACCATTGGACAACACGAATTTGAGTGTCTGCAGCTGTTTGAGCAAGAAAAGGAGGTTGTCCAACAAGCATTTCGTAAAGTATCACGCCAACTGACCACCAGTCACACGCTTGTCCATAATCTGTAAAATAGGTATAATTGACAGTATCCAATGAGTTTTAGTTTTTCAGAAAGCAGAACAACAAAAACCCCACTAAATTTCAAGTGACTTACCCTGTCTGCGTAATATTTCTGGTGCTATATAATTTGGTGTTCCCACCAAAGACTGTGCACACCGACGGTTAGCAAAGCTATTTCTACGTCTTTCTAGCGTTTTATCATGATGTACACCTCTTATTGCTGTGAACTGTTTACCATTTGTTTGACGGAGATTGCGAACTTGTTCAAGTGCTCCGATTTCTTCCTTTTCTATAGTTGTAATATCATCTTCATCGCATTCTTTACTGTTTTTTGTGGTTTGCTCTTCATTCGTTTTATCTGTATCATCAGGTGGTTCAGTTGTCTTAGCACGATTTATTCTACTACGATTTGGTGATGAACACGGGATACTAAAGTCTAAATCCCAATATTTTGAACTATGCGTCCAACGAAAGCCAGTACACAGACCGAAATCGGTAAGTTTAATGTGACCTTCACGATTAATAAGAATATTGTCCGGTTTGATATCTCTGTTTTCATAAGAGAAAAGAATGCCACACATATTATATGATCTTTCTGAATGAAATAGAATATAAAAGTAACATAGTTAGCACGAAATAAATATTAGGCGACAACTATATAATACAGTCAGATAATTTCCATTGTAAATGACAAAGTGAATACTTCAGTCATGTAATAATAATAATATAAACTTTTTTGACCAAATATTGATGAGATCGGTCCTACATCTTACTCACTAATGCGTACACCATGTCTTAATGAAACAAGGGCTGTGAGGTAACATAAAGTAATGATATTAGATGGTCAGAGGTGATCGGCAGGAAGCACCGCCTTACCTAGGTTTCGTGCTAGTTGGCACTCACTGGTCAGCAAGGTGTATTTGCAACCTTGAAGGAACTCATGTCCCTTTTGAGATTCGAACCGGCGTCACCCAGTGAGTACTGCAGTCAGAGACGTTACCACTAAGCTATTCAGGCTCGCGACTGACTTCCTATAGGACTGTAGTGGATACTTTGATTGGACACAAGTATGATGTGCCAACGAGTGCCTGACGAGCGCCAAATAGGACGAAACCTAGGTCAAGCAAGGCTTCCTGTCGATTGCCTTCAACTATCTAATATCATCAAATCAATGTGCACCGTGATGGCGAGCTACCTAGAATGGTGGCCACATTGCAAACCTGACTGACAGAATTCAGTCTGCACCAAAGAAAGGACTAGACACATCACACTAGTTACTAGTGTCCAATCAAAGTAACATGAAGTAATAAATGATAGTCAAATATTCACAAAAATAATGACATTAGTGAATAGTGTTAATCGATGAAGTCCTGTTTTCTAGTAACATTTATGTCATTCTTAACATGAAGATTAACCGATAATCAAATCTGTTGTTCTGAGGAAAGTAAGCCCTTTATTCCCCCAATAAAATAACTAAACCTCGAGTGAAATCCAAACACCTTAACTATTATTATGCTGTTAGTGTGTTCACGTCTTTACTGTATAGACACGGTGTACATTTGAATAGTTTACTTCCCTCAATTTTTCTACCATCTCGTAAATAAGAAAAGACAGACAAACAAAGAGCCGTTATCATCACTTAGTGTTAATACCTACATAACCTCTGGGAATTGAAAGGCACTGTATAAATATGGGGTGAAGACTGTTAGTTATAATCAAACTGTCATATTCTGAATGGATTTACAGGATGATGATGATAGCAACTTACTCCATTGGTGAAAGCATGGCTCCTATTAGGCGCAAAATATCTCAGTCAGTAAACGTCAAAAGTTGACCATGTGTCGTCTTCTACTGAGAGTGTGAGCAGAAAACCGATCAATTCCTATATTTATGTAACTCAACAAGTCTTTAAAAGACAAAATGAATGAAGTAAAATAACTGAATTTTTCCAAGGAGTAAATTTGAGAGAAAATGAAGAAAAACAAGTGGCCAGTTGCTGTAGGCAAAACAACTTCTTATGGTAATGATGAGATATAGCAATGACGAGAAGGTCAGTTTAGAAGTGTTAAGTTCAATCTGATAAATTTTACCAGTTTATTTAGACTGGGGAAATTCTCGGCACATTTTCTATGGTGACGAAAACTGTATGACATTTATTTCACATGACATGCAATCGTGACATAATAAACCAGTCTTAGAACTCCTTCCGTAACGATTAACTTTTAGTTATGAGTGGTAATATTTGAGATTCTAGGGAAAGCAGTTGTGTAAATGCCACAATACATTGTAGCAGTTATCTTTGTTACTTTCCTAGTGAAGCAACGGAAATACGGTAAAGTAACACTAGAAAACGCTTCTTAAAAACAAACGTTACTCTTCATTACAGTAGTTTAACCAAAAAAATACACGATGTCTGAGAAATGATAAAAGGAACTATCTAGGCAGCTTTAAAAGAAAAAGCAATGACAGAAGGCTGACGTGAATAATAGTTTTTCCTTTAATGCTAAAGTGTGTAAGTGCCGATAGTCAATGAGTCATCCAGTGGTAAATTTGTTCACCTGAAAGCACTATTCCCAATAAAAAGGGTCAAAGGTTAAATACTTGAAAAGTTTCACCTTAATTTTCTTATGAAACACAGGAAGTCGTTCTTTGGTTTGTGATAATGTAATACAGAACCTAGTGAGATTGCCATTCATAATAATAATAATAATAAATGATTATGAAAAGTTGTATTACGTGTCATTTCACAGTACTAGCGGTATATGCATGCCACCATTTCTGTATATAAAACAAAACTGGACATTGTGTTTTGTGTTATCGATTGTTTACTTTTAGACCATATTAACAATTCAGCCCTTTATTGATTGATCACAGCTTTCTGAGTTGTATCTCTCGTGTATGGTGGTATAATAGGGTGAGCAGTATTGAGGTTAGCCATAGGTTGCTAGGTGAGGAGGGGAAGTCAATCGACGAGGTTGTGAAGTTACATCGATGTATTTAAGTTTTAGTGTTTCATTTACACCGGTACATTGGGATTCATAATTGATTTAGTGAGTTGTAAAGCTATAAACTATGTTGCTTCAAAGCGAACCGACTTATTTAAGAAAAGTAAAATGAAGCGTTACATACTGGCCAGGAAATGTGTTCAGTAATATTAGTGTAGTTAAAAGAAAACAAAGAAGTAAAATCAAAGGTGAATTACTCACCGATGTACAAATCCCATAGCATGAACACTTTGCAGTGCCAGTGTCAATTCAGCAATATAAAATCGTGCTAATGGTTCTTCGAAAATACCCTTCTTGATTAACAATGACATCATATCACCACCTATTTGAATAGTATAAAAAAAAGGTGTTTTTATAAGGGCAAAAAGTAATAGTAAAGTACTGCTACAAAAGTATTTCGAATGGTGAATTTTATAGTTGGATATATCACACAGTGAGTGAAACAGTATTATTTACTGGATGATAAGGTTTCGAACACAATTTAATATTGTTCATAATCATATCGCCAATTATAATCACACGACTTCGAAACTCGAGTTTTAGAGTTTTCTTTGTTCCCTCCTATTTATCGTCGTTGGGGTAGTAGAATTTTCCAGATATCTGGGACACGTGTTGAATCATTCGTATTACGCATATTCTCTCTCAGTTGATTCGATAAACAAAGCTTCTGTTATCAATCTCTCCTTCAACCCTGTTACTTCAGATCCTAGAACCTCGGAAACCCTAAGGAGAATTCTTAACAACGCTGGCAGGAATAAAAGTGTCTGGCATTCAATTACCCACAAACTCAATTAGAAACAAGCTTTGTCGGTTAAAGGATCCTGTAGAGCCTTTAAAACAAAACAATTTAGTTTATCTAATACCCTGCTGGAATGATTGTCAGTTCAAATACATAGGTCAAGGTAGTAGAACAGGGGCAGTCACACTAACTGAGCACAAAAACCTAGCAAAATCTAGATTAGTTGAGCCTAGTAAGATAAGAAATCTGGAGAATGGTTCAGCTAAAACACTCACTACATGCAGTTACACACAACCATACAATAGACGATGGGATAAGATAACAGTTGATAACAGAAGCTTTGTTTATCGAATCAACTGAGAGAGAATACGCGTAATACGAATGATTCAACACGTGTCCCAGATATCTGGAAAATTCTACTACCCCAACGACGATAAATAGGAGAGAACAAAGAAAACTCTAAAACTCGAGTTTCGAAGTCGTGTGATTATAATTGGCGATATGATTATGAACAATATTAAATTGTGTTCGAAACCTTATCATCCAGTAAATAATACTGTTTCACTCACTGTGTGATATATCTAATAAACAAACTAATATGGAATTACTTACTACCACAGTGCCTAAGTTTTACACATATATTAACACTTGGAGATAAACTATAGTGAGACGTATCCAACAGTCCCTTAAAATAAGATAAGATATATTTGAGAAGCTCTCCAACTTTATTGCGCAAATACGATTAAGTAAATACCCGTATGTGTAGAAATGAAATAATAGCCTGACTCCAACTCTCTTCTAATATCACATGACAACACACACACACACACTGCAGTTTGTTAACTTCGTAGTGTAACGTCAGATAACTGCAACTGATACAAATCATTTGAAGGAGATAAAATTTAAGTTGGTTTTAGTACAGACTTTCTAGATGCATTCTAAAAAAGAATACTTTGCTGTTCTTTTAACGTCCATTTCATTATAGTTCATAATATAAATATGACTTTATAAACCAGTCTGAAATAGAAAAGAAATTTTAATAAGAAGCCAAATAACTCAGTGGTAACTTCTCTGATCACAGCACTGGGCTAGGCAGATTCAAGTCTCTAAAGGAGCAGCAACTCCTACAAGGTCGAAGATACGCTTTGGAGACAAGTGGCAGTCAGTGGAAAACCTAGGTCCTTGTCAGTACAGTACCACAAATTTATTATTTATTTATTTATTTATTTTGATTTACAGCTTGATTCCACACCGTATTTTCAGTACAAGTGTGGAATTTTCAGCATGGATATCGGTAGCCCGAATTCAGGCCGACCATAGATATCGGGTGTGCGCCGGCAGGAGATCGAACCCCGGACCATGTGCATGGTCGGCGAGAGTCCTAACCACTGTGCCACCGACGCACAATATAGCTTTCAAAGAACTGTCTGTATAGCTGACAATCTTAATCTACCGGTGGAAATAGAAAATAGTGTATGGGGCACAAAATATCATGAATTTAAATTGGTAAAAAGCACTGGAAATGGGAAAGAATCAAAAAAATATTTTATCTCACATAATACCCTGTATCCTTATTACCCAGCATAAAACAAACTATGCGCATCATTACAGAGGGGATTAATGACATCAGGAATGACGACATTTGTGATGTAGTACGACGATATTAAAATGGCGTAATTTTCAAAAGACTTGTAATGCTGTCTAAGTTCTTAAGCCGAATACATGACATATTTCATAGAAATGTTTTATCTATAACCAAACCTTAAAGTTTTAGTTTGCAGGGGTTTGACTGATTTCAAGATTGATTATGAAGTGACCTTAGTTGGAGAACCATTGGAAACCAGCGAGTATTGAAGAGTGATTTCGTCCCTGTCCTGGGCTCTTCATCCAGACGCACTGCTGGATTCCGTCCCAGTGGCTGAATGATGCTACTGAGTGATACAATAGGATTTGAGATTATTTATTAAGTTTTCCGGTTGGACGATCGATGCCGAAAATGAGCAACAATATAGATGTGATAAAAAGAATGATACTCTTGTGACACAAATAGTCAGTGATATCCACCAAATTACATGCTTATTAAATTAGTTGTGTTCTCTGAGCTGGTTGATTTAATTCCCAAGCTGCCGTCGTCCTTCTAGACAACATCTTCAGTGCAGGTTTTAGCATTAAATGAACTTGTTTGAATTCTTCATGAATGATGTAATTGTATCTCCTGTTGTGACTGGTTGTTAATTTACGTCTCTATTGATCATATTTTTAATGACTTGGAATTCGAACTTTCTTATCATGTGATTTTCCTTTTATTAGCTGGTAAATTTGGTCTGTAGAGGTAATATGTTTGTTAATTGCTAATTCACTTGAGTACCGGGCTTCTGCGGATTCTCTGACTGCACTTCTGGTGCTTCCACTATTTCAAATTCCGACATTATCCCAATCAAATTGGTGTCTATAATTATCCACATGCACCGATACGACAGAATATATACCATGCCTTTTTATAGACAATTTGTGTTTTTTGGATTCGAATTCGAAGGGGATGTCGCCATTTTGACCGATGTAATGTTGATTGCAGTTCATACAGTTTACTTTGTATATGGTATTAATTTTTGTCTTCTTTTTCTGTTTGATCTTTCAGTTTGCACACTATCGAATGAAGTGATTGTGCTGGTCAGCTGGTTTGTGTACTATATCTGTATCTATACCAAATGGTCTTAATATTCTAGCTTATACTTCTGTCTCTGACCAATTCAATGAAGAATCCTGCCTATCGCTTGCTTGGACTGGATTTTGAAACTACGGTTGATATTCGAGTATTAAGAGGTCAGAGAGTTACAGTTTGTAAAAGGAAATTTCAACATCGAAAGTCAGGTGTTACTATACAGAAGGAATTCCTAATTACACATAATTTTAATCAGAAACATTATCGTCAATTAAAATCATCCACCATTTCTTTTTACCTGTTAATGAATACTTTTTTTATGGTTGTAGCATTTATTATTTAACTAAGGTGATTTTTGTAAAAAGAGAAGAAGAAGAACAGACAAAAAGAATGTCAGATTATTTAGAGAAAAGCACATTCAACCTTATATACAGAATTGGATATCATCTCAACTGAGGCAAAAGTGATGCGATTCCAGCAAGCTGGAACCATCGCGTCGAATCCGTACCGGAATATTGCAAGCAATTTATGTTCACATCAATTGATGGTAATGGAATCATGAATACTTTGAGTGTAGATACCAGTTATTTAGTTACGGGATTTCATCATGAGCTGACATCTGTTACAGAATCATGGAAAACCTTCAGGGAGTATTGGACACCTGTTTCCGTTGTCCTAGTTTGGAACTCTTCGATAGTACACACCCACTGCCAGGGTTCGAACCTAGAACCTGCTGGTTACAAGGCGAGCTAGCTAGCAGGCCATTAAGCCACTGGGACGTGTCAGTCCAATGGCCAGCTCATGAATTCCAAATTCCGGCAATTCATGACATAGCGCGACTGGCACTAGCCAATGTCATCGTTGGCCCACCCTGCTGCATCAAACTGAGAGCTGTCTGCTAGCCAAAATTGTAGATATCAATTCACGTCAATGTTTACGTCCCGAATCGGGGTCACGAGATAAAACAAGGACAAAGCCTACTAACTCTGTCCGTTGGAACTGGAGCACGTAGACGTAGATATTTAGGAATGATTTCATTTCTTAGGCATCAATGCCTAAGAACAAAGCCTAACCTTGATGAATGCAACAACCAATCACAACAGACTTAACGTGGGTAGATAGATGACCGGACTGTCCAAATAACGGCCACAAAGAGATGATAGAATAACCTTCAGCGAGAAAACAACCAGTCAGAAGTCTTTGCTGCTATTAATAACAAATAATAATGAATATCTCTTGATTTTCTCAATAAACGATCTGTTGCCTGACCCTTGTCTTCTGTCATCACACTACTGATCATGGCTTCCTACTAGAACCCATGTAACTACCTACCTGAATAGGGCCAGTCGCTAATGAGCATCTCATTGATATTCAAGTATTGGTTTGTAGGGATTTGATTATTTAGAGAAAAGCCTATATACAGACTCTGAATTATAAAAAATTAGAAGAATTCCAAAAAAGAAAGAGAACAAATTTATTACAGAGAAACTTCTTACCAGGAATGTATTCCATAACTAAATAAAGTGCTCGAGAATCTTGAAATGAGAAAAACAACTTGACTACCCATTCGTTATCTGCTTCAGCGAGAATATCTCTTTCAGCCTGTACATGAGCCAGTTGTCGACGTTCTACAACATCGCGTTTATTTAACAGCTTCATTGCATACAACTGATTATTATCCTTTTTACGTACAAGCCAAACCTTGCCAAATGCACCGACACCTGTAATTTAACACAAGGGAAAAGGATGAATGAGATATGTTTTTATGCAGGTTATTTGTTCACGAAATCAATACTATCAGACATAACTGTGAAACGAAACAACATTAGGTTAGAGACTCTGGATCAATTTTCTTCTAAACAGAACATAATGTTACAGGTTTATAAACGGACAGTCTGCAGCTACTAGTTAAAATGAAATCGTCTAATAATTTCCAGTTATATTTTCAACTGTTATTATTACATTCAGTAATTGTTCCATAGACTCTTTACTACTACTTCGGAGTAAATATCCTTAAGAAAAGAATTACAGCCTGAATGAGAATATTCTTCACAGCAACGGTAAGGGTAGTGTTTTCCAGTTTTCCATTGGTCTTCAGAAGCTTTAAGGACAAGATCTAGCATCTGACCATTTTTCTATGTATACGTCAGTTCACCTGTTGCTGTGGAGTTAGGTATACTGGTCGAACGACGCGTATCCTGTCTAAAAGGATTCAAAAACAATATCCTAAACTGCTGCGGAAAGGTAGTAGTGGCTCTGTTAGGAGTGCGACCATCGAACACCTTGTCAACACTAACCATTCCATCTCAACAAACTGTGTTTATTTTTACGGGATGGGGTTGCTAGCCACATGCCCTCTTTACCAGTCTTATTATTGGTTTAGGGAGGTAAAGGAGTCCGGGAATCGAACCCCGAACCACATGCGTGATTGGCGAGCATTCTACCGCTGTGCCACGGACTCACATTAAAATGTTCATAGTATTACTTAACTTTAATACACTTATTCAACTTCTTTTATGCATTGACTAATAATATTAACAACTATGTTTGTGACAGCTCATCACTTACGTGACTACCCTGTTTCATAAGCAAATTGTATATAAATGCGATTGTACAGCTAAAGAGGAAAATGAAGTCACCACAAAGAGTCTCTTCGCTGAACTCTACATGTTTTATTTTCATTATTAATGTCCAGTTGGGGATTATTCATGAATTAAATAATTTTTAGCCAAGATATGTACTGCTGTTTTGAAATATACTCAAACAAACAAATAAGCATACAACTCATGGAATCTGAAAAATCCCATTCATCACCTTACAGCTGGTAACATTACATATTTAAAGTAGGGAGGATAAATTCGCTGATCAATCAGAAGTTGGGAAATCTGTAGAATTACCTACAGTTTTGTAAGGTAATCAACAATAAGTCAGTGTTTTTACACTACTCTACTCTTGAGAGAGAGAGAAAGACGAAATTCACCATTTTTGAAATAATACTCTATAAATTCAGTAGAATGCTAAGTGCTTCTGAGAAAGCATAACCTTCAGATATCCTCTTTTTTTTCAAAAATGATATCAATGTGGTAGAAGTTGAATTAGACTTGAATATATACACCAGGAATTCAATGTGCAGAATAACTGTATCTACGTGTCTATCTATCTATCAATCTCCTATCTACATACAGCCAAATATTTGTACACCTAAAGTATGCAGGCCTTTCAGAAATGTTGTAAGAGATATGAATGTATTTAAAGATATGGCAAAAATTTCCTGTTTCTCTTTTTTCCTTGTTGTTGTTATTGTTGTTAATGTAAGGTAACCTTTAGAAAAATATTGTTGTGCCTAAGAGAAACACATTTTCCTGCCAGTAGACATTGGAATGTTGTCCATTAATAAAGCATTTGTTCGTTTACACTTAGGCATTTAACAGCATAAACTTTTGTTCATAGGTAAGCGTGTATGTGTGTGCGTGTATGTATATATATGTATGTGTGTATGCGTGTGTGCATGTTTGCGTGCAAGTGTGTTTTTATTATGCTGGCATATACGCGCGGATTCAAAGATTAGTTGTAATAGAAGATAAACCAGGGAATAGAACACAAAATAGAATCAAGAATTCGGCCATTCATACTTTTCTACCCACGCTTATTGATGTGTACATTCCTTCAAATTTTTTAGCTAATACATACTCGAAACTGTCCATCTGTTAATATGTAACGTGGTGACCAATATTAGTTGTTAGACTTTATAATTTCTTGAAAGAAATAAGCATAAATATGTAATAAAATTGATAAATTTCTGCAAAATGGGGATTCGTGGGTGGATTTTCACTGTGCACACAAACACTGCCTAGATTTATAGTTGGACAGAGGTGAATAAAGTATACATAAGCATGCACAATGAAGTGCAGCCAAAAAAAAATATAAAATAATCGAATCGATTACTGCATATTAAATTATGATCTGTAATTCTTGGGTTGAAAAAAAAACAAGAAAGAAAAGAATTACCTGGCAACAGAAGAAGAAATGAATACTTTTGTTGGTCAGGGCAGACCAAGAGAGTTAAACAGCTGCTTTACACGTGACCTACATGTTACACACTATAGCAAGCAAAGAAAATGCATTGGAATTCAGTAAAGCAAATTACATATGTGAACGGTATACAGTTATTGGCTTCTATGCCCAGCCTACATAAAATCAATGCAGTCACAGATCTATCATTTTGTAACTGCGAGAGAGAGAGAAGGGAAAAAATAGAGGAAATCTACTAGATCGGTATGCAGCAAAGTTACACAGATTTATGCATAAAGAATTTATTGCCATATATACTACAAAGATTTTAACCAGGATGACTGTATATACTTAGTAAATATATAAACGGATAGGAAATATTACAGTCACAAAAAGTCTAGACCACTGTACCAACTATTGAGATTCAGGAAGAATGCATGTAATTTTAAATATTTACAAACAATAAATTTTGACTAATGTAAATGCCGTAAAAGATATTTCTTCTCAATCAAATTATTTATGAAACAAAATGGAATAGATATTACAAGCAGTTCGCTTAAATCTATGGTTGTGTAGTGTTCATTAAAGGAACCTAAGATTAAACTTAGATTACTGGTGAAAATGTTCACTGGAAGGAAGTGATGTGCATATTTTTCTTGTTTGTTTTATTTTCTGAATAATGTACATATTTGTACAAAAACCCAGCGTGAGTTGAAGAATTACACTCATAAAATTCTGTAAGGAAATTAGTTTTTGAGCAGTATTGTGTGAAATAAGAATGCTTTGGATAAAAAAAGGGTAGGTAAAAGGTGTGCGTAAGTGAACATTATCTGCCAGATGCATAGTATCAAAAGTACAGTACAGCTCATGATGAAATCCTGTAACCAATCAACCGAATCCCTACAAACCAATAATTGAATATCAATGAGGTGCTCACTGGCGATTGGCCCTATTCAGGTAGGTAGTTACCTGGGGTTCTAGTGGAAAGTCGTGACCAGTAGGGTGCAGCAGTTCAGGTGTGAGGACAAATACTCGCCGAAGACATTGGCTAGCGTTTGCACTATATCGTGAATTGGCAGAATTAAGAATTCATGGGCCACTGGATCGGGTCCTAGTGGCTTAATGGTATACGACCTCGCCTTGTAACCAGAGGGTCCTGGGTTTGAACCATGGCGGTGGGTGCGTACTGATGAAGAGTCCCAAACTAGGACGAAACAGCCGTCCAGTACTCCCAGGTTTTCCAATGGTTCTCTGTAACCAATCAACCAAATCCCTACAAACCAATACTTCAAATAATTTTTCTTTACAAGACTTTCCTGACATATTAAGTGATCTGTGAATGTGAGATTTTTGTCTACGTAAGGACACAGTAACTAATTATTATTATTCCCATGAGTTCCGAGTGGAACATGGAGCTTGAGCAACACATCTCCACTTTTTTCTATTCTCGTGATATCCTCTTCGACTGCCTAACCACACGACTGCCCATAATCTCTCATCTTCGAGTCAAATTCACTTCTTTCAATTTATCCCTGTGCTAAAATAGTTTCCTTTTTCCACAAAAGATGTCATCAACTTTTTCTGTGATTGGTCTGACAGTTTCAATCCCCGAAACGTCAAAATACCTTCAGAATATATTTAAACTTAATTGTATCTTTAATGTTTTAATTTCGTCCAGTGTATTGTCACCCTTTCTCTTTCATCAAATGCTAAATGAATTGCCCTTTTTATTTAATTATTATGTTTCTTCATAATCTACGTTCACTGATGAGCAAGTTTAGATGACAATAAGCCGATGAAATATGGTAGATTTGACGTATCTTGTAATTCATAGTATCAGAATAATTTTGTGAATTCATACTACTAAACGTGCGTCAGTGGCACAGTGGTAGAATGCTCACAGACCACTCATATGGTCCGGGATTCGATCTCCAGCCACAAACGCACTCCTTTACCTCGCTAAGTCAGTAATAAGACTGGTAAAGAGGGAAGGTTGAGCGGGAGGCTAGCAACCTCATCCCGTAAAAATAAACACTACTGCTGCCGAAACTTCAAGCCTCTAGCTTGAAGCCCTATGTTCCACTGGGAACGTAAAGGAATACTATTAAACACTAATTTTCCACTTGGATTAATTTGTTTTTGATAGATACTTGTGGTTAATGCCTACCCAGCATAACATTATGTTAAAACTCTGGATTTTAAAATGAAAATTAAGAATATAGCTGGAAATGATGAAATTCCTGAAGGCGAAAATCAAATGATTATTAGACTTAGATACACAAACCTATAATTCTATGTATGAAAGAATTAGGAATATGATGTTTGACAGCTATTCATCAGTCTTCAAACATTCACACCTGCATTCACAAAACAAATAACCACTTCCGGTAAACTTTCTATATATACTTTATATAATTAGAAATTGTTTACTTTTGAGAACAGTTTCCAGTCTTAAGTCGAATCATGTGGCAGTCCACTGGAGCTATTCGAGACAAGAATACACATCGCATAATGGTAAAAGTGAACAGTGCACTATCTGTTCACCATTGAAGGCAATTACATTTGTAGTCATTGACTTTAACGACAGCTAACCTATGACGAAAAGTCGCCATCTCTCACTAAATTAATAAATCACAGGTAAGCTCAATAAATAGTGAAATTAATAACGAAACATTAAGTATCCAATCGTGACACGACACTTGAAGATAACAGAATACCTTAAATCTTGTTACTTCAAAACTTGACCCAGCAGCAAATTTTAGCTGGCATGAGAGACTGCTTGATTGACTGACTAAAAAAAGTAGGACTTTGCAAATACTGCACCAGTTTGAGTTGTTATACTTCGATGAAGGAAACAAAAGTTGTCAAAACCGACGTGACAGCTTTACCGATTGACTTACTACCATAGCCGACACTTTTAGCCCAGTCCTGTTATTGTGGAGTATACTTCTCCATTTAGCAGGATAGATTTAATGGAAGTGTGTATGGCAAGAAGCCGTCAATGTTTGTATTTTTTTGTCTTCAACGGTCATCAGAATGATCCGCGAAGTAAGATGAAGGGAACTGTACTATACACGTCTTTTGTTGGTAGCCGGATATAATGTCTGCACAAAAGTTTACGCCAGTTGACGAATATCAAATGAGCCTTTTGTGTCCATGCTAAGATTTCGTCAACGCCAGTCTATTGAGCGTAATCCACTTTCCAAATATGTTAGGTGTCTAATACAACCAACCAATCAAATTCGTCATCTGAAAATTACTGAATTAGAAGGAAGAAATCACCACAGTTTCTTTTGGAAGCTGAAAATGTTTAGATCAGACATATTCGATACTGTGAATGGCAATAAATCAGCCAAGCAAAATAGTGTGACGCTATGTACAGTGGCGTGATGCCACATACTGAACCATTGATTGAAACCACTCATGTCAAACTGCGGTGCTACTCTGAATTCTAGTGGCTTGAACTAATTCTTCACCCTAAGCTGAGTCAAACCGAGTACACAGCTGATGAGCGCGATTTGAAACGACCGAAATGGCCAACCAGTGTTTGAATCCCTTAGACTTTGTTAGCAAGCAATACTGTTTGACACGAGTGGTGTCCAACTATTCGTATCAGTTGATCAGTCGTTTCGTTTCCTGTCACTAAATTGAAGTTCAGTACAAACCAGACAGCCAGCATCGTTTTACATTTGACTGGTATGAATAGCATTTTTTCTCATGAAGTTCAAAAGACTTCATTTCGTCAACTGATTCACCTAAAAGAGTACTTTAAATCAATGAAACTTTTCCAGTAACAAGTCCTAATCTTTATTAACCTTTTTGTTAGACTGACGAATAATAGTGTCAAGTCAGGTGCCCATGAAATGTACAATTTTATTTTTTTTAATGTCACTGTGATTCCATTCGGGGGCTAAAAACAATAAACGGTACTAACTTAACTAGTGAGTGCTATTCATTGGCATGACTGGTTTACAAGTTCTGTTTATTGTTATAACTGCACATGTAGTTAGCAGTATTTTTACTGTTGCCTTAGTGACTAAAATCTCGATATAATTTATGGTGCTTATTTTTTGTAATTTAAACTCAGACTACAATCTGCAGATATATCTAATTATAAGATGTATTTCTCATCAGTTCAGATACATAGGAAGTACTTCCTTGTTTCTAACAGCTTACCAGCTAACAGATATTTCTAATATACATATTCAATGGAATTTAGACAAATCAGTTAGAAAATTTGTGCGTCAGTGGCACAGTGGTAGAATGCTCGCCAACCAATCACGTGGTCAGGGATTCAATCCCCAGTCACCGACGCACTCCTTTACCTCGCTAAGTCAGTAATAAGACTAGTGAAGAAGGAAGGTTGGGCATGAGGCTAGCAACCCCATCTCGCAAAAATAAACGCCACTGCTACCGAATCTTCAAGTCTCTAGTTTGAAGCCCTATGTTCCACTGGGGGAACGTAAAGGAATAAAAATAAAGTTAGAAAATTTACTGAGTCGTCTCAGCATCGATCTACTTTTCTAGTCATTCAGCTGATGTATTTATCGAAAGGACGAAGCTTTCTCTTTGCTATATTGACTCAGTATTTCAAATGTAATGAATACAACTACACTATAATGAATCTTTAAAAAGTTACTGCTTCTTTCTACACATTAACTTAGTGTAACGGCAATACGTAAACTGTGTTAACCACTTAAAAAAATAGGGGAGGTATACAGTTTGCGTAAAATTTACTGCTTAAATACAAACACATTTTTCAGGCTTTAGGAAAGTTAGAAATTCTGTCAACTAGTAGTAAAAAGAAATGGATTTCCATGGGAATCTAAAAAAGACTTAACGATTTCTGCTTATGGAGTATTAAAACGTATTTTCTGTTCCAAGAATTCATTCTGAGTTAAGATGGCTTCCAAAAACTAATCTTTTAAATTTTCGAACTGATCATGTAGTTGTAAATGACAAGAGCATAATTTTATGATGTTGTTTTGCAGTACATCAAAAGTGAAAGCCTACCTAGATGCTTTATTCTGAAGAACATTGACTGGTCCATTTTTGCACGCTGCATACGCATATGATTTGATTCTTTTTTGCGAAGTAGACAACGCATCTGTATTCGAGCAGTTTCGTCCAGACCAACCTTGGACATTTCAGCTTCAAGGCGATCACGTCTCTCTTTCCTCTCCCGATGTATTCGTCCAACATCTGCCATTCTCTGCTCCATGAAACGTCGGTAGACTGCCGGATTAACAGGTTTAACCATTCGAAGCGTGTGTTGTTCTTGAGTTGATTCATTATGGTCTTCTGTCGTTTCAGTCTCATGAATTTGTGGTGATGACTCTTTCAATCTTTCTGCATCTTCTTTGTCTTCGAGTTTTGACATGGGATTAGCAGGTTCCAGGGGACTGGGGAAAAATGTCTTAGTTGGTTGATTCACAAAAGGACTAGTTGATCGACTAACAAAATCATCTGGTATATTTTCTTCTTGTTGTTGCTGTTCTGCTGGTGCATTTTGGTGTGAGGTATTGCATTTTCCAGGCTGAAATAAGATGTGAGATAAAAAACTCCGTTTACAAGAAGACTATAGTAGCTTACAGTATAGAAAATATTAACCGCTTATAATAGTTTTCATTTCTGTGAAGAAAACAGGGACAAATGAGTATGATCCATTCGAAAGGTTTACTGATTTACATATACACACATAGACGTACTACTGTACTATTCTTAGGAGTCACCATTAGACATTATTTGTGAATCTTGATGATAAGGCAGTCAAACAGTCTTAAGATAGACGCGGTTTCATTATTGTAAGTTGTAAGTTATAATTTTCTCCTCGAGAGTAGCCAAATTGTGGTGAGAGCTGGCTGCAAGCCAAAAGTGTAGACAGCAATTTACATCAATGTTACGTCCCGAATCGGGGTCATGAGAACAAGAACAAAGACTAACTCACCAACCAATCACGGCAAACTTAACGTGGGCAGATACTATTCGCAGAGAGATGACCGGACTGTCCAAGTAACGGCACAAAGAGATGATAGAATAACCTTAAGCAAGAAAACAACTAATCAGAAGACGTTGCTTCTCTGCTGACAATAATGTACATAAAAATCTTTAAATACCTCTTGATTTCCTCAATAAACAATCTGTTGCCTGGCCTTTGTCTTCTGTCGTTACAAAATTACAGGGAGAACTAAAAATAATAGCTAGTTAGCTCATGTAAGTAACGGTGTACAGGTCGACCATTTTATCAGTAGAATAGAATTCGACTTTTTGGATCATTCTGAGCGAACAGCATGCTTTACAGTAAATATTCCCTAGGTAACGTATAAATAACCACGTTTGTTGAGAATCCATCTATAAAGATACATAAATCACACATTGTTTCATTAGATTTCAGACTACATAATAAGTATCAAGAGAAGAAATATTTTCAAGTATTGGTTTTGTAGGGATACTTTTTGATTGGTTGGAGGATTTCATCATCAGCTGACATCAGTTACAGAACCACTGGAAAACCTGGGAGTACTGGACGGCTATTTCGCCCTAGTTTTGGACTCTTCATCAGTACGCGCCCACCGGGGTTCGAATCCAGGACCTTCTGGCTTAATGGTCTACGAGCTTGCCTTGTAACCAGAAGGTCCTGGGTTCGAACCCTGGCTGTAGGTGTGCACTGCTGAAGAGTCCCAAACTAGGACAACAGAAAAAGGTGTGCAGTACTCCCTGCAGGCTTTCCAGTGGTTATCTAACTTATATCAGCCCAAGAAAAAATACTCTTTCCCACTTAGCCCATAGTAAACATTTATTCATATTTTATTTATTGAGTTCCGAGCGGAATATAAAACTTCAGGCTTGTAAGTTTCAGTGGTAGTGATTTTGTTTTTCCAGCATGGGATTGCTATCCTCGTACCCGGACTTACTACAAGTTAGTAAACTAGGTTTAAGAGTAAGTCAGTCAGGAATCGAGCCCTGAACCGTATGCATAGTTGGTGAGTGAATCGATGTATATGAATATATATATATATATATATATTACTCGTTGAATTGTGAGATACTAGTGCAGTTTATGAATTTACGAAGTTCGGTCAAATATTTAAATGAAGACATTTATCAGTAACTAATAGTCGTCCCTAATAGTGCCAAGATTGCATGCCACAATATTCCTAACATAATAAATATCACTTCGACCGCAAAACTTAGTGACGCGGGTTCGAATCTCAAAACGGACATGAGTTCTTTCAAGGATGCAGATAAGCCTGGATGACTTGTGAGTGCCGACTAGCAAGAAACCTAGGTCAGACTGGGCTTCCTACCGATTGCCTCCAACTATGTAATAACAATGAAATGTCCGCTATTTCATTAACAGGTTAACAAGTATTAGTTTTAAGCGAAACGGTTTGCTCCACGACAGCAGTCATTACACAAAGTTTCAGCTCACTTTTTCTCTCCATCTACTTGTTTACCTTTTTTCTCGGAAATATGATCGTGATTAGTGCACTGATCACCCGTACTGTAATATTTGCCTATCATATGTGTAGTATTTTTCTTAATCTTCTGACGTTGCCTGAGAATAAATGAGAATAAACGGAATCAATTTGCACAGAGCTTCAAATATATTTATTATTTTAAAAGTTATCCAATTCCTGACTGCGATTTATTCTACATAGTAGCAACATTCATTCACCTAATAATGTGTCTTGAGTCGATTTCTTCAGTGCATCAAAAGCTGTTCTGCTCACCTTTAACAGACAGTAACTGCAAATGGTAATAAGTATACACAAATTGAAATTGAATAACATCTTTGCCAATTGAATAAAGATGACTGCTAGTGAATACAAATATGAGACACAAATAAGGTTTCAAGGCAGACACCCGAAAGCAGTTACTGATTACGCATCAAAGCAGTTAGCTAGGAGAAAGATACGAGATATCCCTAGGGTGATGAAAGGTGATGAAGTGGAGTTGGTGAGCGAGCGAGAGAGAGAGAAAAAGCAATACAATTACCACATCTTGAAAGTCTTAACAGATTTCATATTGAACATTTATTACTAATTATGTCTCTTTCACAAATTTCTACATCAGTAATAAACGATGTCAAGTATTCATCACCTTTGATGACTAGACAAGCTTCATAAAGTGGATTCTGAAGCTAACATTTTAAAAGTAACATGTCTTGTCTGTCTGTTTTCGACATAGAACTTTGCACATATGTGCGGCAGTTCAAGTCGCCACACTCCCTCCATGTAGCACACAAAGCAAGAGAAGAAAGTAGGAGAAATGCATAATAGAGACAGTAAACAGAGGTGTGAGACAAAGGAATAGTAATAACGAAGAACAAAACAGTTTAATTGGAAATCATAAGTCACAAGGAGTGGATGCATCTGCGCCAGGCAGTGAGAACGATTTTGAGCCATATCACCAATTGTTTCCAACCATTGGTTTTTACCGTCCCGAGGACCCCAAACAGGAAGTCTACACCTTCCTACGTGGCTTAGACTAACTGTTGTGAATTTCATTGACTGGTGCCATGTTTTCGTTTGACCGCCGCTAGCTCTTTTCCAGCCTGACCCTATATCAGCTAACATTGCCCATCGAGGAAATTATAGGAAAAAGAATAGCGCAGCACACATAGAACAGATAAAAGCGTGAAGTTCTCTAAGCCAAAAGTATAGCAGTGTTAATTGTCTAAAAGAAAAAGCACTGTAGGAGTGTTGCTTATTTCAAAATATGCATTAGGGTTTCTGTTAAGGCAAAATTAATTTTCCGTAAACTTCTTAAAAATCAATGTTTATAGCTACCTTACATAACAGCGGAATAGGAATTTAGGTACACTAGACTAAGTGAAACAGAGTTACAAGTCGAAGTAGAACAAGGTGAAAAAAACGAAAACGACAAAAAACAAGAGAAATACAGGATGACGACTGAATAACAGATAATAGATGACTCGAAAACAGTAGATATTCTTTATTATGCCGAATAAGTCCTCTAACTAGTAATTTCTGTCATGATAGAGTACTTACAAAAAAGTTATCAGCTGTCAAAACTACATCAACCACTAACAGCTTTATGATTCAGTGGAATTTCTTCATGGAATCTGTATAACTTTTATCGTTAAAATAATCTGTGGTGCAGGTTTATCAAACAGACGAATAGCATTGCACAAATTCTTGCACATGAACCTCAATTTGTCAATTCAGGGGAGTTGACACAAACTACCAAAGAATATATATATATATAAAGGAGTAGGTCTAAATAGCCTCTAATTATTATTCACTATTACGAGGTACATAGTGAAAAGTGAAGCACTCCCATACCATCCAGTGGACCTTCACATTTTCAAAGTAAAATTCAGATTTTCAGAATTCAAGAAAATCAGTCAAATAGTGAGTACTATTACATCTAGCTACTGACAGTGAGTGAACTTAAACTTCCAATTATACTTTGAAGTAACCCATCTTGCTATCATTATTCTAGCATCGATGAGAAAATGCTGAATATAACCTTCACAACGCAATGAAGATACTAACTTACATTGGCTTCTTGACAGTTGGTTTTAGTTTAACTATAATAATGCTTGTTCATTTGGGAAACAGAAGTACTTTAATATGCATATTCCAAACCAAAATATTCAACAATGTTTAATAACAAATAAGAAGAATGTTTGCAGTACACATCAGTTCACGCATATGTTGAAAACACAACTGAGATCCTCAGCCTATAGTTTATAGAAAGTCTTTAAAATAATATCAAATGTTTGCTTTATACCTCATAACTGTGTGTTAATACCGTCTTGCAGATTGCATGGAGATAAAAGTTTTAACAACAAGTGAACATAACAACAAACTACAGAAAAGTTAATTAGTGGTTAATTCAATATGAAGGCTAGTAGGTAAAGTTACTTATCTAATCGTGTAAAAAAAACACAACAACAACAACAGGATTACTATTAATTTAGTTCAGTTGATACACTTACTTTCTCAGAAACATGAACTTTCTTTGTTGTTAATAAATTGCTAGTATTTGAGGCCACCATACGTGGAGGTAGTTTGGGAGGTGTGTTTGAATGTGGATTCATTTCATTTGTTGTAGACACAGCCGAATGTATGTCATCTGGAGTTTGTACATTAGAACTTGATTCATCGCCTTTAACTAATAACTCCTTGGAAATATTTGATAGAGGAGAAGAACTCATCACAGCTACAGGACTTGTTGTCTTTTTTGTTGAATGACCAGTTGTCCGATTGTTGTTTGGTTTACTCACAGTTGTATTTAAAGACTGAGGTCGACTTTATTAAATAAACAGTACAAAAAGAACTCATTAAAATCGACAATGGATATCTAAAAAAAGTGTTTATGCATTAGTTACTGGTTTTTACAACAGTTAGTCTACGGTACAAAGCCACCATCTTTCATTAGACCAACACATCATCACTGGTTAGCTCAGGAAACAAGGAAATCAATAAGAGGACATGAAATATCCAACTTTATTACGATAGATGAAGAGTCTAAATCAGGTTGGAAACTTGAATGAACAGCAAATATTGGCCAGCACGATAGACTGTCTGACTAATCAGCGTAGAACTTTGCAAAGTCTGCACTACTTTGCGCTATCACACTTCTATGAAACGAATGAAAGTAGAGAGAAAAGAATGCAAGAAAACCACAATGGAAGAACATATGCAGTAGAGAGAATCATTAAACGAAGAATAGTGAGGGTTTTCAGAATTTGGAAGATCACAAGTGGTGAATACATCTGACCTATTGAGGACGATTTCAAGACAGGTCAACAGCAGTAATCTCTAACCATTGGTTCTAATCCCGAGAACCTAAGTCAAATAGTCTAAACATCCCTAATTGGCTCAAAGCAACAGCCAAAGACTTCATGAGTCAGTGCTATAGTTTGGTCTCATCACCTCTAATTCATTTTCAGACTAGTTCTACAAAAGGTAAAATTGTTTATCGAGGACAACAGCAGATATGCCTGCATAACACATGTCTTAACCGTATCAGTTGATAAAATTTCACAATGCCATTGACGGATTTTCCTCCAAACATAACACTCTCACAGCATCCTTGTTATTAAGGCGTATATTGCTCCATTCAACGGGAAAGATCGAAAGAAGTTGTGTATGGTTAAAGACACCAATCTTTCCATCCTAAAAGTAAGTCGAAGATAACGGCTGCACAGTGGTGGCCAACAAAAGAGTAAGAAATAGAAATATGATAAGTAAAATGGTTACAGGACTTCATCATGAACTGACATCTATTAGAGAACCATCAGAAAACCAGCAGGGAGTACTGGAGAGCTGTTTTGCCCTAGTTTGGCACCCTTTACAGTAAGCATCCACTACAGGGGGTCGACTCCAGGACCTCTCGATACAAGGCGACCTCGTAGACCATTAATCCACTGGAACCGGATCCAGTAGCCAGCCCATGACTTCCAACTTCTGCCGATTCACGATTTGGCGCGACTGCTAGCCAGTGTCATCGTTGAGTATGTCTTCAAATCAAATCCCTGCAAATCAACACACGAATATCAGTAAATTATTTACTGTCCAAAGTATTTATCGTGCATGAAATGATCACAGAGGACAATAGAGTTTCACTGACCTCCCAGGAGAGAGCAGTTCTATGTGAGGTAGTTAAATAGGTCCACAATGTTGTAGAGATTAATGAACTAGAGTAACCAGAACATATGTTACGAATATCTATCCACCGTGTGCCACACAGAGTGTACTTTGTTATTATGTGATCGATTTCAGAAATGTGATCACTGATAGATTCCTATATTTCAATACACATACTACACACCATGTGAAGTTCTCTTTTAATTTCCATGATTTTTCTGTTTTTACCCTTAATCACAGCCTTGATGTTTTGGTTAATGATCACCCTAATGACCCATTAACATGAAAGACTGGTTGCTGAAAAACTTACTACCACAAACTATATATTATATTAACAAATGCTATTCAAACAATCCATTTACGAGGACCTTGTTGGGAAGTAAATATTTGTTTCCCTAATTTCTGTTTTTTTAATGTTCACACTGAAATTTCGCCTTCAGTGAAATATGCTACAGACGAAATGAAATAAGGGAAAAAAGCAGAAAGTATTGGAATATTACGAATATTTGTTAGAAGCTCTTTTTTGTCATCCTCCAACTTGGTCCACTAAATTATTAGTGCTCATCATTTTTTCTTCTGAAAGTTTAAAACAAAAGGAAATTAAATTTTTTAGTGAACCTACCTCGCAGTCTCTTTTTTATGGTTTTGTGAAGGCAAATTAGAAGGGGTTCCAGTCGGGGCAGTTGACGAAATTATGTGGTCGGTTGACTTAACACGAGAATTAGTTGTTGAAGCAACCTGGTTCCGTGAATTCGATCGTGGAGGGAGAGGTGGAGGAAGTGGTGTACCTTTCTTGCTTGACTGTTCCAATTTACAACCTCCTGAAGGGCTAGATTTTGATTCGGAAGACAATAGGGATTCGTCTTTACTTTTAGTTTTTGGACTCTGTGAGACTGGTGTAGTTTGACGGTGAGATGTCTTTTCGGGTTGATGGAGGTATTTGTCTTCTAAAAAACAGATAAAGATTTACGTATAATATAAAGACAATAATTACTAATTATAGTCAGAGGAAGGCCAGTTTGAACCACACTGTACAGAACTGATCATGTTTATTGTGCATAGTCATTGCTACGCATATACTATACTTTAAGATTTACTGCATAACACTTACACGACGTAATTGTTTATTATTATTTTATTCATTTTAGTTCCCAGTGGAATATATGGCTTCAAGCTAGAGCTTCAAAGTTTCAGTAGCAGCGGTGTTTTTCACGGGATGCGGTTGCTAGCTTCAAGCTCAACCTTCCCTCTTTACGGACTTATTACCGGCTAAGCAAGGTGAAGGTATGCGTCAGCCAAGGATTGAACTCCGGACCACATGCGTGGTCGACCAGTGTTCTACCACAAAGTCGGTAACGCACTATACGACATAATAAACATTCAGAATTTAACGTATTGAATGATTTTGTTTTAAAATCATGCTTACCTTGAATATGCGTCTGAGGCTCACTGTATGTAGGTGTTTCCTGATTACATGAAACTTGTTCACGTAATCCGTAGTTTGAAGGGGTTTGTGTTAATCCACTGTTTGGATTCGATGACAATGCAGTAGTTTGTGCGGGTATATTGGATCCACCACCAGACTGCCAAATTTCATTAAATGCACACGAATTACTAATAGGCATTCGAGGTCCTCGATTGATGGATGGGCTGGCACCGGGAAGATTTGCACTTGTTCCTAAACAAGCTGAATTTGAAGGAGAAAGTGCTGTGTGCGCCAGCGGATTATAGGAAATAGAGTTAGATAAGGTAGGTCCGGTAGGAAAGTAAGGGACTGGAACTGATACTAGTGGACCGTACATATTTCCTGACGGAGAAACCTGATGCATTTGAATTTGGTTAGGGGTTAAATGTGATCCATAACGATGCAACATCTGGCCTGGGGATGGAAAAAGTGACTGGAACATAAAACTTCCAGCATCTTGTGCGCTATGGCTGTGGGTAAGTCTGTGCATAGATGAATTTCCATACATTCTGTCCGTTGTTGCATAGTTTGGCACAGCACTTCCTGGACTGTAAGGAACATGATGTCCAGACACAGCAAGTGTGTGGGGCGTTGGCATAGAACTACTTTGTGGTGACTCGACAATCCCATATGCACCTGAGTGGCAGACTGGTGAAGAAGCCGCACAGCCTGGGGAGGATGCGTTGGATGAACAATCGAAAAACTAAGGTAGAAAAAAGAGAACACCACTTCATTTCAGAGTTGAAAGAAAAGAAATTATTCAAACAGCCAAACCGATTCAATTCAAACCTGTTTGGCCGTTTAAAAGAATATATGCAAGAAGTCTGAAATAGTCAGTTTCGAAAAAAAACACTAACAAGTTTCTGTGAAAGCGTTTTTGCATATAAGTCAGTAACTAATAGACTAATATATTTAAAGAAAAAAAGAGCTTAGAGCACTAGTCTATCATTTGACTGGCACACTGTGCACTAGTGTAATTTGAAAAATCAGTGGAAGAAAAGTAGACGAATATTACTACTAGGCGAACTGTTGGGACGAATTCAAATGTAGATAATGATACGAAATGAATATAGTCATCGCATTTCGACTAGTTCTTAAAGATGCTGTTCAGAACATGTAAACCTACAAATATCTACACATCACATTAAGAAACGTCAACAATCCACATGTAGAACAGGATTCGCTATGTAATATGGCACAATAATACTCAGCTGAGACATTTTTAACGTGATCACAATAGGAACATTCACGCTAAGTTCATAAAGTGAAATTAAGGTATTACAGATAGTATACTGATAGGGAAAAAGACACACCTCAAATACTGCAATCGGAGAAACATACAACACCAGACAACGAGAACTGAAATATTTAAATCAGTAAGGTACGCCTACTAATAAAGTTCACAGGTAAGGGAAAGTTGAGGAGGAGTAGCCCTTATTTTATTGCAGAAAGAGGGGAACTTATACAGGTGACATACATGAAGTGAGCTGCATATTGTTTTTTTCATCTCGCTGTTCTAACAATACACTTAAAATCCAATAAAAACGTAAGATATAAGAATGAGACCATGTGCATATATGTATAGTAGGAACATACAATCTCTATTTCACCCCTGGTCTAGCACTACATATACAAATCCTTTTAAATTCAACAAGACAATTACATATCGTCTTAGTTCCTACAGTCATGGGTCACTTTATCATATTCAGTTAAGTTTATACCCCTCGTACATTTACTCTTGTTCGTCAGGTTCTAATTACAAACACACAACACAAGACTCACTATCTTGAACTTTCCTGAGATACTTATATAGGATTTTCACTTCCTCTTAACTGGCAGTAGGTCCATAACCTGGCTGTGGATAATGCATCCATAATCCAATTTTAATTCACTTTTTTATTAACTACAGTATCGATTACTGAAGTTATTCAGTTTCAGTATAACCTTTGAAATATTTAGTTTTTACAATCAAACGTTACATCAAACACTTCCCAATGAACTAAAAGACCATCTGAGCTGAAGTATTATTATTTATGCAACTGATATCTAATTATATCCTCGAAAGACAGAACAAATAGATTTGCCGGAAAAATCTGGTAAACTGCGAATGGAAATGAATTCCATGAAATGCATAACATACAGGCGATAAACTAGCCAACAACTCCAGGGGTTTTGAATACTTGTATTCTTTGCAAAATGAGAGTAATAAGTTTCCACATTGATATTAGCATCATAAGCGCAGTATCTTTACTGAAGTGGGAAAATCAGAAATTATAAGCAAAATGAAGCTTTACCTTATACAACTTCCCTCAGCTGAAAGTTTAAAGGGATAAACAGAAGGCAGATACCAGTCGAGTAAAGTGCACTTGGAAAAATAATGAACCTATACTTACTTTTAATGAACTGAAATCATTTAATGTGGATAAAAAGCTGTATAAAATTTGGTTTGAGATTTATAAAAGGTCTGAGAAGACTTTAAATTTCAGTGGTGTGTTTAATTCTGGCCTTATTAGCTATCTGAATTAGAAATATATAGAATAGCCCAAAATCGTTAGGAGAGGAAAAAGCCTATATCTGTTAGATAATCCAAATCACTGCATGCAAGAAACAATTTTTACAGACAATATGTTTTAGAAGTAAAACAAAATCTCTTAGAACGCAATACTTTTTTACTCAATTTAGATGTAAAAAGTTACAAATCACGACTATGAATGCAACGATTTTATTCATGCACTCATATCACAAGCATATTTCATTTGAGATAGTCAACATTTATACTTCAAATAATGTTTAAGAAACAGAGCGTTTAACGTATTACTTAGGATTCCAGTGTACTTGGATACTGGTTTAGTAAGGCTAAATATGTCAAACTCCTGGGAGGATTTACAGAATGTTTCAGAAAACTGAGACCACTATCTACAATAGACGAAAAGTTTTAGTTTCACAACAATCGAAGGAAAGTTTGATTATTTTCACCTTTACACACCACATTATCAACACACTGGATGGATGTAGGTGCTTCTGTTATAAAACTTGATTAATTGACGGCTTCAGTCTCTTCAGATTACTCACTAAAGTGAATTAATGAGTGAGTGAAACATTAGACTTTCACCGGTATAAGGCAGGGATAACAACGCATACATCACAGTTAATGAATTTCAGGAGGTATTTCTGGTACCAAAGTTGTAATAAGAGCAAGAAAAGTATATAGTTCAACCGTAGGTAAATAGTTGACACATATACAAGTTTGGTAAAATTTTGAATGACTTTTGGAAACAATAAAAGTGTCATTATCATTACTAAAGGCAAAGCAGCAAAATTTGCTAGTCAATGTATATGCATACGAATAAAAGAATAACATTTGTGTTAACAACAAACATAAAGGCGAATCTTAATAAAAAGGCAAATTTTTATTTATGGAAGACATAAACTTTAGTGGAACCCCTCTTCCAATAGGAAGGCAAAAAATGTTTCGGATAAAGAAAACAGGAAAGCAGATAGGTAAACATAAAAAGACATAAGCTTAAACGAAATAAAAGGTCCTCAGATCTACAAAGTGATAAAAAGTTTACTCTGACTCAACATTTGAATATGAAGGAGCAAAAACACTGAAACAGAGTGAGTAACTAGAACGGTCTCTTGCATCCGCAAATTCGTGAAATATTTGGTGTCCTTCAAAAGTAACTAAAAAGGTAAACATAAACAGGTGATAGTACGTATTTTCAAACTCGAATTCGTATTTTCCTCAGAATTTACCCTGCAATTTCCTGAAACTCGTGTTAGTAAGTGTTAATTTTTATTTTATTCCCCTACGTTTTTATTCGGACATAGGACTTTGTACTAGAGCTTTGCAGTTTTGATAGCGGTGGTTTTTATTTTCATGTGATGGGGTTGCTAGCTTCAAGCGCAACCTTCCGTTTTCACCGAACTTACTTCTGGGCTTAACGAGGTAAAGGTATGCGTCGTCCGGGGATCGAATCCTAGACCACATATGGGGTTGGCATCCCTACTTCATTCAAATATATTTATTTTTGGTGTCACTCCTCCAAAATACCGCTAGGTGAAGTTTCAGTGAGACGGAATAACGAAATGTTTCTCAATGAAACGTCAATGTTTTCCCTGAAAATTGCAAACACGCTTATAAACGTCTATAAGTTAAAATCGTCCATCAGTGATTAAAAAGTAATCTCTCGTATCTAGACTAAATCCCTCCATATTAAAACCTGTTTGATTAAATTTTTAGAGCCTAAATGACAGTATGCCTCCGGCTTATAGGTCCCCAAGTTATACAGCATTAATTGGTTTTTCATTGTTCTTCGTGATCCTAAATACACATAACTACCTGAAAAACATAACAACCTAAGGAACCGTCAGGCAACACTAACAGGATACCTGTATGTCGTATGTTGTGCTAACTTGCTGAAAAACGGCACCATTACTTGGTAAAACGTGCATAACTACAAAACGCTAAAGAATGACTTCCTGCCATGCCATCAAAAGATTCGATTAAATGATTATGAGCATCCCAATAAATCCAGCTATGCCTCCCTACACAGCCGAAATCAGCAGTCGGAGATTGCGTGGAGTGATTCCATATTTTGACCTAACCATCTATAAATGTCTTCCAATGCACTCCTATTTTAGCTAAGGTTGCTTCTGGGGGAATGTGAGAGCTCAACAAAAACAGTTACTTCACTGCCGCATCCTCTGAGCATGATGAGTACATGATCATCGTTCCAAACCTGGAAGGATGAAACCACATGAGAAACATTTTCGAAATACTCCATGTTAACAGTCTTCATAGGAAAGCATAGTTGTATGTGTATCCAAAATCAGTGAGACGTAACTGCGATAGATTTAGAGAACAGGTTTATGCCTCGGAATCTGAAGGTACCAGTAATAAGCGATAGTGATGGTAAATAGATTCATGAAAAATCCTGTAATATACTTGCCATTTTATACCTATCACCGCTATCAGAATGACTTAACAGCCCTACTCAACACTGAGCATAAACCTAAACAGCGATTGGAATTCTCAAAATATTTAAAAGTCCTGCAAAGAATTAGAAATTAATTAATTCAAAGCACATTTTCTAAAAATATAAGTAAATACGATTGTGAACGGTAATGCTGTTGTTATTACAGATCGCCTCATTTCTCGAAAATATGATGATATATGTATATTTGGTTCATAGTATCAACTTAAGGTGTAGCATGATTTGTAAAACTATAGAGACTTTTAGTAGATAAATACAAACTTAATCCCAAATTAGCCTGTCGTTGCCACTTTCTTATCCGTCAGCATAAGTAGAAAGTAACGATTGAAATTCAATTCTTAGCTGTTATTATTGGCGAAAGTATATTCCATTAAATTAAAAGTGATGCTTCAAATAAACAAGGAAACATTGCAACAAATGCCACGAATGACGTGTCACTCCAGTAAGAATTTACATTGCCAAATTATCAAGGCACAAACAGGAAAGGTCAGTACTTCACAAATTTTAGTCCCTATACTAAGAGAAATTTTATTGCAAAAGCATTTCAACTCAGGCTGCAGCAACTGAGACATAAATATGCGGGAATTAGTCCAAAATGTTGACCTTCACAACAGATATATCAAAATATACTGGCAACAAAGATTTAGCTACCTCTAGCCTTACAAAATATACACATGAAACTCACCGCTCCACACAGTGTCGATTTTGGGTAAACAGACAGATTCAAATGTGTTATTAAAGGACGCGGGTGACAACAAGAAGGCTGGTTAGAAATTAGGTCTATTTGACCATGCATCATCCCAACCTGCTTCTGAGCAACATTTTGCATATCATCATGAAAATCACAGGTGTATAAAGATCCGGGACAGGTCGCGGAACTCGAAAGCTGTCCCCGATAGATGATAGGCTTTACCCCATTTTGATGGCGCATAACAGAGGACTCTGATGTTCGTGTGAAACCATACTGGTACATCACACACAGACCATTCCAACTAAGCGCGTATGAAACGAAATCGAAACCTGAAGGTCGACAGTACACCTTATTCAGAATGAACAAACACGAACTGTGTAACGTAATAATTATATGTATCTATCATTGGGCAAAAAGATATTCACAAATAATTTATGGTTTGAATAATGTTTCGCATTAGTCTACTTATAATTCTTTAGTGGCTGAGAAAGTAAACCGACCTTTACAGATAAGGCAGCTACAATGATTAAGTATGATATGGTTTCATTGAGTCTGATTTGAACACAAGACAAGAATGCGAGACTGCAATGTGTATCATGTGGGCCCACTTATTGCATCTGAATAGCAAAATCGAATGTGCAGTAATATACACTACTTTAGAGAAGATTAAGCTGAACATTTGTTACAATATCTCCTATTACATGCTTCTGTCTGATGAACGACTGTGGAAGAATGGCAGTTGTTCTAAATTTTCTACTTGCTGATTCGACGGAAAACCTAGATATATCACTAGTTGCTTGTGTGGGTGTTGTGATAATGGTAAAACAGTTGGCCTGTCAAGTCTAGAGAAACTAGGGAGAAACTAACATCTAGCTGGGAGGAAGTTCCTAGGGGTGGCACTCTCTTTCTTCTCACTTTAGACATTTGACATGGTGTATGTACTCAACAAACCACCCTTCTGAATTTCATATTGTAGACTTCAGCAAATTCACAATTCAGAGACCCCTTTAGCTGAAATCTTCGTCCCATTGTGGGGAAAGAGTTATTTGCTATAGGAAAACTACTTGGCTCTTCGTAGTCTTGTTGCTCCTGTGCCGGAACTTCTAGGTATATAGTCGTTTAGTGCATTGTATTCATGCCTGTTCTGCACAATTCGTCAGTCACACAGTCCTTAGTATCGCTTATGTGTTTTGCGTCAGCAGCGAAGCGCGATACAAAATCATGCCATTGCATTTCACATACGGATTAACTATCCACTTTCGTGATGAACACGTTTGTGAGAGTATTATGATCATTGAAAAACCACGGATGGTCAGCCTCCTGCAATTTCGCAGAAAACCATTAGCGGCTCTCTGTGAAAGGCGTAGTACTTTGATTCTTCGGAAACAAGGTTTCTCCTGATGCCTTAATGGGTGTATCTACACTGATGCAAGAGGTGCAGTTGTATCATAATATCTAAAGGCTGTTTAGAGGCTGAAGATATTGACGTTCAAGGATAGTATGAAGTGTACAAACGCAAGATCTAATATCCACAACCTCTATAGTATTCGTTCCGCGTAGACCAAGGGCAAAGCGAAACATCAGAATTGATCGTCCAAATTACGAGTTATATTTCGGGACCAAATCGGATTGCGAGATGATTGCTTAACTAGCTGGGGATCATGCACAAACGAACGAACGTGACACGATGGCGTACCGAATGACGTGGATACTTGACCGGAAGCCTTCGGCTAAACGAGTTAACTTAAACAGTGAGGGTCAGCATCCAATGTTTAGTGATGAATCATATCAAGGTGATATGATTATGAGCAATAAATTGTGCTCGAAACGTCATGAGTAAGCATTACTGTATAACAAGATAAAATTTACCCATAATGGCATGCATTTTCATGTAAATTTATGTTTATATGAAAATACACATTATTATTAAACAGTTCACCTAAGTATTTTCGTAAGCAATCCCGTCTAAGTATAATATTTTAGGACAAGCTGTTTTGAAGTTCGTCAACCTAATTTTGAAAAGTTTGGCTATTTCTCCTGAGTTATGCGGTGCCTGAATGACCTGAATTTCTTTGTTTCTGAGGCCTGTATTTCTCAACTCTCTAATTCTATTGAGAAGGGACGTAATGGCAATAAACGATGATAAGTCATGATATCTGTAGTATTTTATTGAGTGCTTTCTTAGACTTCTCCTAAACGATGCCGGAATATAATCGCTTTGGGGAATCTGAATCTGAGAAACTTCCCAGGTGCAATGACGTCATGAATTGAGTTGATACTCTGATAAAAGTTGTTAAGAATTGCCTCTGAGTACTCGTTCGAAAAGTACGAGTCCCAGTCAGAACATCTAGTTAGAAGCTGATACAAGTTCCAGTCAGCATGTGTGTACTTCTCATGGGTGTCTGGCCAGCTTCATCTCTACGTTTTGTTTCAGGAAAGATGTCAAAAGAACACACTACTATTTTATAGTCACTACCTGGAAATTCATGTCCCACATGTACTATAGATGGTGTTATGTTGTTCATGAGAATAAGGTCTAGGATATTTGCGGATCTAGTGGGTGAATTTATGTGTTGTGTCCACCCTCCTGAGACGATGGAATTCAGGAGATTATCATACCTTTGTGGTCCTTGGAGTGAAGACCATGATACTTCTGGCATGTTGAAATCCCCTCCGATAATTTTATAACTGTGGGGAAGATTGGCTGTAACATCAAAAATATTGCTGAGCATATTATCATATTCCCTGTTGGATGAAGGGGTCGGTGCACACGACCCACAAGTACAGGTTTACTTCTGACAACTTTTATGTGGACCCAGATCGAGTCATTGAGTTGTGACAGAATTGGGTTAGTGAAACGGGTTGCACACGTGGATTGTTCATACAAATTTAGTGTTCCAACCCCACGACCTGCCTGTCTGTCCCCTCGGAAAAGGTTGTATTTATCAATCCTTAGGCTATCATTGGAGATATCACTTGTGCACCAGTCTTTAGTGATTATAATTAATGACGGTCTGCATACAGAAGCTAGTGTACTTAGTGTTAAGTGTTTGCTTAGAACTGATTTCGTATTTACTAGGGTAATAGATAAACACTGGTTATGTGGTTTCAGTGAATGGACAACATCTTGATAAAATAATCCATGAGTATCCTCTTTATACGTTTTATTAGACTCATTTGGTGTCGACACTGTGTCAGCTATCTCCTGGGTAATATACCCCGTCCTAGCTGTAGACTGTTAGCTATGCCAGCAAGGAATCGATCCGATATCATGCGTGCAATATGCATGATGCCAGGTGTTTCTATTAACTGACGCTGGTGAAAATCCTGCCCGAAAGTATAACCGATATGAGTATTCTGTAATTTGTTGCCGGTATAAGTATGAAGTGTTGGTATTTGTTTCGAGTAGTCATCAGACCATAGCAAGTTTTGTACAGAAATCGGCACATGCTCCCTACTATATACATAAGATGTATGAATGGGTTCTGTTGGCTTATTTGGCTTGCTAAATGTAGTCTACGGCTGATGTCTGGTGGACTTTCTATAAGTTTCAGTTGATAGAACATTAAAAGGGGCTGGCTAATCACGGGTTTACGTAGTGGATGAGCAGAATAATACCTACTATCTCTCTGTGCTGTTTGTCTAGAACTAGTGGTTGGATATAATTGGCTTTCCACTTGACACCGAACAGGCCTACCCCTAGGAGCTACCATAATTGACTTTCTCTAAGAGGGATGGCTTGGAGGTGCTTTCGTCTCTATCACATCAAAGGGCTTTCTTGTTCCAAGTTCAGTATTTAATTTATTTACTTATATTTTCCCTTTTCTTATGATCGACTGGTTGATGATGGAGAACAGGGCAGCTGGCACATACTATGTAGGGCTTCTGTTGCTTGGACACCACATACACATTAGTTTTCTAAATGGAAATAGGACGTTTGGCATTACTCCAAGAAAACTTCCTAGCTTGGATAGCTACACACGACCGGTACTTCACCGTGGATGGATTGTCAGACTGAGGAGTAACCGACTTAAAAGGGGATGAGTGAAACACCAGTGCGCGTGTTTTCAGGCTTTGGACGTTTGTGTCAGTGTGCAAACGATGTTTTTCAACATTATGTTCTGTAGACTCATTTATGTCCACCATTTCAGTATCAGCATCAGTGTCGTTATATAATGCTTGGCTAATATTAGTCTGTGCCTGCGAAAATGTCTGATGCATGCGGTCATCAGGTATTTCACTAGACGGAATAACGCACGGAACATCATCTTCAGTTGTCCGATTACAGTTATCAGTATTCAGTGTTCCTGAGCGGCATCGTCTTTGGCATGGTATTAAATCAGGTGCAACCTTAAAGTTAGTGTGGGGTGTTGAAGTGCCTATACCTTACCAGATTTCAGAAAATTCCTGGATTGTTCAATAGACCTGAACTTGAAGAGCACTAGACATGAGTAGTTTGCAGATTTCTTACGAAGTCGCAAAACCTGACATTATGTCAGTGACATACTAGAGCCTTTAGACATAAATTTTAAATTTTCTAAAGAATGGTTTGTAAGGATTTGTTATGTTTTGACGAGTTGATCACGGACTGATATCAATTAGAGAACCATTGAAAACCACTAAATACTCTAACACTACTAATGCTACATTTAGCCACAAATGAATTAGGCAAGGCAAGTAGATATTTTTATTTCCAACTGACTGGAAAAGTATATTACGAGTTGATCACGGATTGATATCAGTTAGAGAACCATTGAAAACAAGGGAGTACTGGACAGCTGCTGTTTCATCCTAGTTTGGGAATCCTCGGCAGTACGCACCCACTGGGGTTCGAACCCAGGACACTCCGGTTACAAGGCAAGCTCGTATACCACTCAGCCACTGGGACCCGATTCAACGACTCATGAATAAATTTTAAAGTTTAGCAATAGACTTTCTGTCTGGAATGTTATAGGCCAAGACGTTATGTGAAGACATAATCCTCTTAACTGCTTCTTCAGCCAATTAGTCAATAATAATAGTATATTCTCATTTTTTTTACATGAGGGATGCCAGTTTACAGGCATCATCAACTCGATAAATTACACATACGATTTGTAAGTATAGTTAGTAATGATGATATAATAAGGTACATATTT